TGAATTGAGGTTCTCTGCCTCTAAATCCAGAGTCCTTTCCACAGATGTAGCTGAATTCCCTGTTGAGCAAGGATTGGGAAAAGCTGCGATAGAAGAGTTCTCAAAGCTTTCTTGAAGGCCTTGGTTGTATGATCTGATTTTCCATTCATGCCTGGAGCCAGTTCTTGCCCAGGCCTCCCTCCCTCATGCTGTCCTTTAGCTAAGTTAGCGCTCTGACTACCATGACGTGTCCACAGAAAGAAGGCCTTTACTGTGAAAACCAAGACTGTGAAGTATTAAAAGGGGTATGAGGGAATCCTGACTCTGTCATGAGGCTAGAGGGTGAAGGTATGCCATGTAGAGGCAGAGAAAGGGCAGAAGGAGTGCTGGAGTGGAGAAGAGTGAGCCGCAGCTCTTGGGAGGCCAGGTGGCCCAGCGGGTAAAGTCCTAGGCTGGAGTCAGGAAGGCCTGGGGTTCACTTATGAGCTGAAACGGTGGCTTAGTGTGTCTCCTCTATAAAATGGACTAAGGGTACCCTTTCTTCACTTCAGGGTTAAGTGAGGAACATATGTAAAGCACTTCACGAGCCTTAAAATGCTGTAGAAATGTTATTGCTATTATTAAAGCTAACACAACTGCCAGAGCTGTTTAGTGTGACTGAACATCTTTGAATAGCCCTGCTGATCCTGAGATGCTGGCAGAGAAGCCTCATCTAAGGAGGACCAGAGGAAGAAGAGCTGTGCAGCAGCATCAGTCCTACTGATGAGTGTCAAGCTCGGAAGTGTCAAGTGCCTGAGGCTGGACTTGAACTCAGGGAGAGGCGTCTTCCTGTCTCCAGACCTGGTGCCACCTTCCTGCCCTAGTGAGCTAAATACCAGAAGGAAAATTTAACTTCGTGGAAACCACTGAAAATTAGTAAAATAAGGGGCAGCTAGGTGGCACAGTGGATAGAGCTCTGGCCTTGGAGTCAAGAGGACCTGAGTTCAAATCTGGCCTCAGATACTTGATACTTACTAGCTGTGCGACCCTGGGCAAGTCACTTAACCCCAACTGCCTTGCCAAAAAGAAAAAAAAAATTGGTGAAATGAGACCTATACCCAGAATAGAGAGATGGAAAAATATACCTTATTCACAAAGGCTGGGACAGGCAAAGGGTGGGTGGGGAGTATCATTGTATACTTAGTATATATACTCATGTGAGAAAATCAAGGTACCAGAAAGAGGAAGCGTGGTGGAGATATTTGGGTGAATATAATTGCACACAGAAACACTGTGGTCATCTTATCATCAGAGGGTAGTGGAGGTTGACCTGACTGTTTCCAGAGGCTCATGTAAACAGGTGAGAACTGGCCTTCAGTGCCCTGCTATAGTATACCATAAAGCATCTGTACAGAAAGATAACATAGATGAGTTTGGGAAGCAGATTGTAAGCCTGGAACAGAGGCGTGAGATAGTAGTGATGGGGGGCTCCATGCTGCCTGGCAAACAGTGGTGCATAATAAATGTCTGTTTAGATCTCAGGCCTCCTCTTTCTTGGCCTATCCGCAGCAGTTGATACTATGGATCATTTTCTCCTGGTGACTCTCTCCTCTCCAGGTCTTTGTGATACTATTCTACTGTTCTGTGACCTGTTGGACCACACCTTTTTAAGTCTCCTTTGCCAGATCTAGTTCATTTCAGGTTGTTTTTTTTTGTTGTTGTTGTTGTTGTTTTTTGCAGGATTTAGGCCATGCCTATTTATTTATTTTTAATATTAATTAAGTTTTAGTTTTTAACATTCACTTCCATAAGATTTTGAGTCCCAAAGTTTCTCCCTCTCCCTCCCCTCCCCCACCTCAAGATGGCGTGCAAGCTGATATAGACCCTACATATACATTCATATTAAACATATTTTCATATTAGTCATGTTGTGAGGAAGAATTAGAACCGATGGAAGGAACCACGAGAAAGAAGAAACAAACAAAAAAAAAGAGAGCAAATAGCATGTTTGATCTGCATCCAGACTCCAAAGTTCTTTCTTGGGATGCGGATAACATTTTCCGTTGCGAGTCTTTTGGCATTGTCTTAGAGCCTTGCATTGCTGAGAAGAGCTGAGTCTGTCAAAGCTGATCATGGCACAACGTGGCTGTTACTGTGCACAGTGATCTCCTGGTTCTGTTCACTTCACTCAGCATCAGTCCATGGGAGTCTTTCCAGGTTTTTTGTCATGTCTGTTTACGATGGGTGTGGTTCAGGGGTCTGTCTGCTCTCTACCGCCTCATGTCTCACCTTTCGTTCTGGCTCAATTCCTGGAGGAGGCTGTCCACAACGGCTACTTCCATTTCTTCTCTTAACTCTCTTCTTAACTCTAGGCTGGCTTTCAAGCTCACCATTCCACTGACCCTGACCTCTCTTGTGAAGTCCTATCGTTTCTGCCTTCCCAGTGTGTCTCATAGGTGACCCTTCCCTCCCCTCACTTAGCTGCCGCCTCGCTGCAGACTCACCGTTCTCAACCCTGGATTCTTGCAGTCAGCTTCTGGGTGGTTTCCCTGCCTCTTTCTCATTCTAGTCTACCCTTCCCTCAGCTTCAGCAGAGACTTTCCTAAACACAAGTCTAACCATCCTCAGCTGTGTATTCAATAGACTACCTGTTTGGCTTTTAAAGTCTGGAGGGGGTGGGTCGGACTGGTGGAGCTCCAACACCCGTGTACCTCAACTCATCAAGTTCCGTACCTGTTGTTTTTTTGTTTTGTTTTTGCAAGGCAGTTGGGGTTAAGTGACTTGCCCAGGGTCACACAACTAGTAAATGTCAAGTATCTGAGGCTAAATTTGAACTCAGGTCCTCCTAACTGCAGGTGTGGTGCTTATGCCCAATTTTTTTTTTTAATCTCTTACTACCTTTCTAGCCTCTTACATTTTACTCCGTGATCCAGCATCACTGGCCTTCTTCCTTTTCTTTGTGCATGACACTGTCTCCCAATTTAATGCCTTTTCATTGTTCTTCTCCCATTCCTAGAATGCTCTCTATCTCTACTTCCATCTCATTACTTCCTTGCTCCAATCCCACCTTCTGCAAGATGCCACCATTACAACTACCTTCCTGCTGAGACTACTTTCCTCTTACACTGTATAAATCTTGTATGTTCACTTTTTCACATGTTGACTTTATAATTAGAATGTTGGTTCCTGGTATCTCTGGTGTCTGTAGTATCAAGGATTGTGCATTTGGCCTCCTCTGAAGCCCCAGCACTTAGTACCTGGCACCTAGTAAGCAATTAATGCTTGTTGGCTGATCAGTGAGAATTTCTCTCAAGGTGGTTGGTGTCTTCTAGACCATTAAGATAAGAACTTTGTCTTTGTGATATTTATGAAATGATCATAGTAGCCATCCCTGATATCAATCCACAGCTTTTAAATGGAAGCTTGGTGCCCGTTGCTGAGTAAGCACAAAGAAGGCCGGAATGTGGACCAGGGCTCTTGGCTGCCTCCCTAAGGCATGTACCTTTAGGCTGTCCCGAAGACAGAGTAATTTCTCTGCTTGTGTTTTCAATTTCTATGATGTCATTATGCATCTTTTGAGCTCTAATTCATCTAGTAAACCTCTAATTCACTGCTTCAATCTGGACCTCTACTTGACTTTTATTATTAAAATTCCTGTATCAGCATGTAAAGCATCTGTAATTTCTGGGGTTTACTCCCAGCTGTTCTATGTAATTAATTCCTCGGGGAGTGCTTAGAGGTCATAAGAGATTAAGAGGCTTGCCCAAAGTCATTAACTGATGAGGGGGACTAGTTTTTTTTTTTGTTTGTTTGTTTTTTTGGTGGTGGGCAATCATGGTTAAGGGACTTGCCCAGGGTCTCAGTGTCTGAGGCTAGATTTGAACTCAGGTCTTCCTGACTCCAAAGCTTGTACTCCACCCACTGTGCCACCTAACTGCCCCGAGTGATTGGATTCGAAGATAGGTCTCCTGAACTAGAAGCCACGCTGCTTTTAGTTGAAAATTCACTAAAGAAAAAAAATAACATATGTAGTCAGATTTTTGTTTTACAAATTGAAATGGCATACATGGGACAATTAAGAATTTCAAGAGAAGTGGGAGCAAGCTGCTAAACATAACAAATGAGGAATGTTGAAGAACAAAAATAGATGATATCATCAGGCAATGTGTGATACCCTAAAATGGATGAGTCATATGGCAAGGGATAGAGAGATAGCCCAAGGTCTCCACTGGGATTTAGGTGATGTCAGGAGAAAGTAAAGAAGATATCTCTTGTATTGGGTATATCCCTTAGAGCTTATGGAAGAATACAAAGAAGAGTCACACAGTACATGTGCATTGCAGTCTATGTGAAGGAAGGAGCTGTCCAAATATGTTGAGGAGGAGGCAGCTGTGATATAGCAGGGGAAATGCATTGGCTTTGGAATCAGAAGACCTGGATTCATAGCCTGCCAGTGATGCTTGCTTTACCTGTGTGACCTTAAGCAAGACACTGAACTTCCAGAATCCTCACTTCCTCAAATCTAGAATGAGGGGGTTGGACTAGACGACCTGTAAGTACTCTACCACTTCTAGAGGGATGATCCTCTGATATAATAGCTCATGTTTGTTATTTGGCATGTCGAGGACACTGATGGCTTTCTCCGTTCTATCAGGATCTCATTGGTCCCCAGATCGCCTTATTATTGTCTGTATGGGGATTCTCCCCTGAACTTTAACCTAAAGAGGAAAAGGAACTTGAGGAAATCAGGAACTGACGTACTTACATTAGATTTAGGAAAAGGCCTTCTAGGGACAGGAGGCATCGGGGCGTGGAGGATGAGGTAAAAGGTGAAGCGACTGCTCACCAAATAAGACTTTCCCATAACTGAGTCTGTATTGAGAGCTGGTGATAGAGAGGGCTAGATGCTAGAATTCCTAGGACGCTTTGCTCGTTAGTCACTGATAATGTGTGATACTTATATCTTTGATCTAAAGAGTTATCATGTAAATTTGACTTTGACATACTCAGAATCAAAAATCTCTACAGTTTTATATCGTTGACCTCAGTTTTTATTGAGCTATAAGCCATCAGTGATAACTGATTTTGTACCACATGTATCTGATTCATGGTGTAGGAAGACTGCACTTCTCTTCCTTTCCCCCACTGCCACCAACTTGCAGTCTTGCTGAGTGACTTGCTGGGTGAAAAAAAATCTCAGGCCTTCATTATGAGTCAATATCTCCAGCTATGTTACTGTTTGTTACCTTGCTTTGATGGTCAATTCAACTTAATATTTATTATCCTTACAAGTAACTGTAAATCAAAGAGGATATGGCAGATTTGTAGATGATGTCCCAAAAGAATGTTAGAGATTTGAGGAGGAGGGGGGAAGCATTTCTAGTTGGGAGGATTAGGGTATATCTTTTGGAAGTGGCCTGGAAGAAAGGATTACATGAGGGAGAAATGTGAGGGCAGTCCTTTCCTGGGGAATGGTTTCCTTCATTCAGCTGGGTTTGGAAAAATGGACAACTAGAATGCATTCTTTGAGTTTGGACAGGAGAGGGTCAGGGCTTGAAGAGATTTTTGTTGTTGTTGTTGTTATTGTTGTTGGACTTGGCCTGGAGAAAATCGGTGGATTCTTTTCTTTCATACAGGCTTGTGGAATAGAACTTCCCTGGATCTACAAGGTAGACTGGGGCTAGAGAAAGAAGGAATTGGCAGGAATGTGCTCCCTGAAAATGGCCTGGGGAAAGATGGAAATTCTGTGGATTCTTTTGTTGAACTTGATCTGGAGAAAGCAGATGCTTATATGGATTTTCTTGGTAAACTTGAGACTGGGGAAGAAGAAACTTAGAAGGAGTCTTTTTTTCCTGAGTGGCTGCTAGCTATCACAGAATAACTGGATGGACTTTGGCCAGACAAAGAAGTTTGCATATGGCTTTTTGTTGAAATGAAGCCAGCAGAAGATGAAATTTGGATGGATTTGCTTTTTGAACTTAGAGTAGCAGAAGACGGAACTGGAGCAGATTTGTCCCCTTCATAATGTTAACTTTTGAAGGAATTGGCATAGATTCTCTGTGAACTTGAGCTGCAGGCAGGACTTTGCATGGACTCTCTCGATACTGGCTTTAAGGAAGATGGACATTCTGTGTGATTTGTTGATGATCTTGGATGAGAAAATAAAAAAATCTTTTGTAGATTTGCTGTCTGAAATTGTATTGCAGTCAGAGGAATCTGGCCAGGATTTTCTTGGTGGACTTGAACTGGAGATGGAAGGAATTTTTATGGATTTTCTTGATACTGGCCCTAAGGAAGATGGACTTTTTATGTTCGCTTGGATAAAATTGGGTCAGAAAAGGGAGATACTTGTATGGATCTGCTCACAAAAATAGTGCAGAGAAAGAGGGAAATTAATGTACATAGATTATAGGAATAAGGAACTTGCACAGATTTGTTGTCTGAAATTTGTTTGGAATCATAGGGAATCAGTGCAAGTTCTCTTGTTGAAATTAAGCTGGAGATAAGAAGAATTTGTGGAGATTCTCTTCAGCCTGGTCCTAAGGAAGATAGAAATGCTATAGATTCACTTGGTGTACTTGAGTAAGAGAAGGAAAAAACATTTTGTATGCATTTGCTCTCTGAAATTGAGATTAAAGTTGGAGAGAGTTAGTGTGGTTTCTCTTGGTGAACTTGAGCTGGGGATAGAAGGAATTCATAAGGATTCTCTTGAACCTGGCCTAAGGAAGATGAAAATTATATATGCTTACTTGATGAACTTGAGGCAAAGAAGGAAGAGACTTGTATAGATTGGCTAGCTGATATTAGGTTAGAGAAAGAGGGAAATTGGACAGGCCCTCTTGACATGCAGATCAGAAGAATAAGGAACTTGCAGAGATTTACCTTGTAAAACAGTGCCAGAGGTGGAGGGTAATTTTAAAGATTCTGTTGGTGAACTTGGGTCAGAGAGTTCTGGAACCTTTGGATGTATGGATTCTTTTGATGAAAGTGCTTGAAATGGACAGACATTCTTTGCATTTGCTTGTTGAACTTGGGTCAGAGAAAGAAGAAACTTGTAGATCTGTTCACTGAAAGGCCAGAGGAAGATGGAGTTTGTTGAAATCTGTTGGATGTATGTAATCTAGGAGGAGAAGGAGAAAGAATTTGTATGAGTTCCCTTCGTGAACTTTCTTCGCTGAAATCAGGAAGTTAATTGAATTCCCTTGAGGAAACTGGACCTGAGAAAGGCAGAACTTCTGCACGTTTGCTTGATGAACATAGGTCAGAGAAAGAAAGAACTTGTGTCCATTTTGTCACGTAACTTAGGCCAGAAAAAGGGGGAGTGTGGATAGATCTGCTGAATGTATACGGTTCGGCAAAAGTAGTGACCTGCACAGATTTGCCTGCTGGAACAGTGCTAGAAGTAGAGGGATCGTCAACCAGTTTTCTTAGCAAAACTTGTAATGGAAGCATCAGGAATTTGTATAGATTCCCTTGATGAACCTGAAGTTGGGAAAGAAGGAAATTCTATTTTGCATGAACTTGAACTTCATTCAGGCAAAAGGTGAAGTTCTCGTATGGGCTTGCTCACAGAAATAGCAGAGTAAGTAGAGAGACTTGTAGAACTCCTCTGGGTAATCTGGCATCAGGAAAAAAAAAATAACAACAGGACCATGTAGAGAATCTTTCTGTTGAACTGAAAATGGGAAAGATGGAATTTCTTCTGTGCACATGCTTAATTATGTTAGATCAGAGAAGGACATTGTATGTACTTATTCACCGAAAGTGTGCCCAAGGTAGAGGGAATTCATGTAGTTTCTCTTAGTGAACTCATGTTGGACATATAAGGACCTTGTATGAATTCTCTTGATGAAAAAGGACCAGGGAAAGACAGAACTTCTTCTATGCATATTATGATGAACTTGGATCAGAAATGGAAGGAGCTTATGCAGGGTTTGTTCACCATAACGGTACTGTAAGTTGAAGAAATTTGTATATATTCTTTTGGTGAATTAATGTAAGAGATATCAGCATTTTGTATGGATTCCCTTCATGAAACTAACGTAGAAGTCCTTTGTTTACACTCAATGAAATTGGGTCAGAGGAAGAAGGAAATTGGATGGACATACTAACTGAAGCAGTACCAATGTTTGAATGACGTCATATGGATTCAGTTGACCAAAATAGACCTGGAGAAGATAGAACTTCTGCAGATATAGTTGATGAACTTGCATCAGATAAGGAGCAAGGTGTGTTAGTTTGCTCATTGTGGCGTCAAGGTAGATAGAGGGAATGTGTACAGTTTCTGTTGGCAAATTTTTATCAGAGGAGTGGGAACATTGTGTGCATTTGCTCAATGGAGTAAGTCCAGGGATGGAGAGAATTTGTATGCTTTTTCTCCTGGTAGACTTATGTCAGAGAAATCAGAAAATTGCCTGGATTCTATTGAACAACATAGAAGCAAGAAAGATGGAACTTCTATGTTCACATTCAATGAATTTGGGTCAGAGAAAAAAGAAAATTGTGTGGATTTGATCACTGTGAGACCACAGTAGGTAGAAGAAATTCTGCAGTTTCTCTTGTTGAATTTATTTCAGAGAAAGCTGGAACATTGGTGGAGAAACTAAAAAAATCTGGAACTTGGAAAGATGAAATGTGTTTGATGAACTTAGATCAGAGAAAAAAGGAAATTGGATAGACTTACTGACTGAAATAACACTATTGTTTGAGAGATGTTGTATTAATTCATTTGATAAAAGTGAATCTGGGAAAGAATCTGAATCACGTCTTCTATGCCTACAATTGATGAACTTGGAACAGAGAAAGAAGAAACTTTGTAGATTTGCTCTCTGTGATAGCATAGTGGACAGAGAGAATGTTTACAGTTTCTCTTGGTGAACTTTTGTTAAGATACATCAGGAAATTCTGTGTGTTTGCTCACTGAAATGGGTCCAAGGATGGAGGGGATACATATGTCTTCCTGTGGTAATCTTGAGCAAGAGAAATCAAGGACTTCTGTGGAACCTTTTGGTAAGATTGGAAACAAGAAGGATACATACATACATACATACATACATATATATATATATATATATATATATATATATATATATATATATATTCTATGCACACACTCAGTGAACTTGCGTCAGAGAAGGAAGGGACTTGGTCACTGCAAAAGCACAGCCAAGAAGAGGAAACTTGTGCAGCTTAACTTGAATTTGCTTCAGAGAGTTCAGGAGCATGCATGGACTCTTTAGATGAAACTGGAACTTGGAGATATGGAATCTCTTGTGTGCATATGCTTCATGAACTGAAGTCAGAGAAGTAAAGGAATTGAGTAGACTTGATGACTGAAAAAGTATCAAAGTCTGAAGCAAGTTGAACAGATTCTGTTGATAAAAATGGACCTGGGAAAGACATGACTTCTAGGCATATAGTTGATATTGAGTCAAAGAAGGAAGGAACTTGAATGGACTTGGTAGTTGTAAAAATATGGTTGGTTAGAGAGAATTTGTGGAAATTCTCTTGATAAATTTGTTTCAGAGAAAGTAAGACTATGCATGGTTTCTTTTAATGACACTAGAACTCAGAAAGATTAAATTTCTTGTGTGAATATGACTGGGAAACTCTGGCCAGGAGGAGAGGACTATATGGGATGGGCTTGCTGACTGAAATAGCAACAATGTTTGCAGATATTGAATAGGTTACCTTGTTGAAAGTGGACCTGGAAAAGATAGAACTTCAATGTTAGTCAACTTAGGTCAAAGAAGGAAGGAACTTGTATAAACTCACTAACTGTAGTTACTGCAGAAATTACATTGTAGTTAGCACAGTAGTCATAAGGGAACTAATGCTGTTTCTCCTGATAAATTTATTTTGGAAGAGGCAGGAACACATAAGGATTCTTTTGATGAAACTAGAACTTGAAAAAATGCAAGTTCTTGTATATAAAAGCTTGATTATTTTAGTCAGAAGAAGGAGAAAATTGATTCGACTCAGCCATGTGGGTGGAGGGCACTTGTGAAGTTTCTGTTGGCAAACTTTTGTCAGAGGAGTGAGATGATTGTGTGCATTTGCTCACCGGCACAGGTCCAAGGATAGAAGGGCTTCGTGTGTCTTCTTTTGGTAGACCTGTGTCAGGCAAATCAGAAAACTGCCTGGATTCTGTTGGACAAAATGGAAGCAAGACAGATGGAAATTCTTCTGCGTTCACATTCAATAAATTTAGGACAGAGGAAGAAGGAAATTGGGTGGACTTGTTGACTGAAATAAGACCAAGGTTGGAGGGATGTTTGATGGATTCCCTTGATTTCAGTGGACCTGGGAAAGACTGAACTTCTTCTATGCCTACATCTGGTGGACTTGCATCAGACAAGGAAGTCGGTTGTGTTGATTTGCTCTCTGTGACAGCCATGTGGGTGGAGGGAACTTGTAAAGTTTCTGTTGGCAAACTTTCATCAGAGGAGTGAGACGCTTGTGTGCATTTGCTCACTGACACAGGTCCAAGGATAGAAGGACTTTGTGTGTCTTCTTTTGGTAGACTTGTGTCAAGTAAATCAGAAAACTGCCTGGATTCTTTTGGACAAAATGGAGGCAAGAAATATGGAACTTCTTCTGTTTTCATGGTCAATGAACTTGGAGCAGAGGAAGAAGGAAATTGGATGGACTTGTTGACTAAAATAAGACCAAGGTTGGAGGGATATTGGATGGATTCCCCTGATTTCAATGGACTTCGGAAAGACATAATTTCTTCTATGCCTACAGTGGATGAGCTTATATCAAACAAGGAAATAGGCTGTATTGGTTCGCTCTCTGTGACAGTCAGGTGGGTAGAGGGAACTTGTGAAGCTTCTCTTGGTACACTTTTATCAGAGGAGTGAGATAATTGTGTGAATTTGCTCACTGAAATAGGTCCAAGGATAGAAGGACTTTGTGTGTCTTCTTTTGGTAGACCTGTGTCAGGCAAATCAGAAGATTCCCTGGATTCTGTTGGAGAAACTGGAAGCAATAAAGGTGGAACTTCTTCTGTTTTCAAAGTCAATGAACGTGGAACAGAAGAAGGAGGAAACTGTGGTGACTTGACTGAAATAAGACCAAGGTTGGAGGGATATTGGATGGATTCCCTTGATTTCAGTGGACTCCGGAAAGACATAATTTCTTCTATGTCTATGGTGGATGAACTTACATCAAACAAGGAAATAGGCTGTATTGGTTCGCTCTCTGTGACAGTCAGGTGGGTAGAGGGAACTTGTGAAGCTTCTCTTGGTATACTTTTATCAGAGGAGTGAGATGATTGTGTGAATTTGCTCACTGAAATAGGTCCAAGGATAGAAGGACTTTGTGTGTCTTCATCTGGTAGACTTGTGTCAGAGAAATCAGAAAACTGCCTGGATTCTGTTGGACAAAATGGAAGCAAGAAAGGTGGAACTTCTTCTGTTTTCACATTCAGTGAACTTGGAACAGAGGGAAGAGGAAATTGGGTGGACTTGTTGACTGAAATACGACCAAGGCTGGAGAGATGTTGAATGGATTCCTTTGATTTCAGTGGATCCAGAAAAGAAATGACTTCTGTGTCTACAGCTGATAAACTTGCATCAAAGAAATAAATGGATTGTGTTGATTTGCTCTCTGTGACATTGAGGTGGATAGAGGAACTTGTGAAGTTTCTGTTGGCAAAACTTTGTCAGAGGAGTGAGACGATTGTGCGTCTTTGCTCACTGAAATAGGTTCAAGGATAGAAGGATTTTGTGTATCTTCTCTTGGTAGACTTGTGTCAGATGAATCAGAAAACTGCCTGGATTCTGTTGGACACAATGGAGGCAAGAAAGGCGGGGCTTCTTCTTTGTTCACATTCAGTGAACTTGGAACAGAGGGAATAGGAAATTGGGTGGACTTGTTGACTGAAGTCACACCAACGTTTGAGGGATATTCAGTGGATTCCCTTGATTTCAGTGGACCTGGCAAAGACATTGCTTGTTCTATGCCTACAGCTGATGAACTTGCATCAAACAAGGAAGTGGATTGTGTTGATTTGCTCTCTGTGACAGCCAGGTCGGTGGGGGGATCTTGTAAAGTTTCTCTTGGTAAACTTTTGTCAGAGGAGTGAGACGATTGTGTGCATTTGCTCACTGAAATAAGTCCAAGGATAGAAGAGCTTTGTGTGTCTTCCTTTGGTAGACTTGCGTCAGAGAAATCAGTAAACTGCCTGGATTCTGTTGGACGAAATGGAAGCAAGAAAGATGGAACTTCTGTATTTACGTTCAGTGAACTTGGGACAGAGGAAGAAAGAAACGGGGCAGACTTGTTGGCTGAAATAAGACCAAGGTTTGAGGCTTGTTGGACGGATTCTCTTGATTTCAGTGGACCTGGCAAAGTCATAGCTTGTTCTATGCCTACAGCTGATGAATTTGCATCAAGCAAGGAAACAGGTTGTGGTGGTTTGCTCTCTGTGATAGCAAGGTGGGTGGTGGGAACTTGTAAAGTTTCTACTGGCAGACTTTTGTCAGAGGAGTGAAAAAATTGTATGCATTTGATCACTGAAATAGGTCCAAGGATAGAGGGAATTTGGATGTTTTCTCTTGGTAAACTTGTATCAGAGAAATCAGAAAACTGCTTGGATTGTATTGGACAAAGTGGAAGCAAGAAAGATTCTTTTGTCTTCATTTTCAATGAACTTGGGGCAGAGGGAGAAGAAAGTTGGGTAAATTTGTTGATTGAAATAACACCAAGATTTGAGGGATGTTGGATGGATTCCCTTGATTTCAGTGGCCCTGGGGATGAAAGAACTTTTTCTCTGCATACATTTGATGAACACACATCAAAGAAGGAAGTCGGTTGTGTTGATCTGCTCACTCTGATAGCAAGGTGGGTAGAGGGAACTTGTAAAGTTTCTGTTGGCAAACTATTATCAGAGGAGTGAGAAAGTTGTATGCATTTGCTCACTGAAATAGGGCTATGGATGGAAGGCATTTGTATATCTCCTCTTAGTAAACATGAGTCAGAGAAATCAGAAAACTGCCTGGATTCTATTGGGCAAATTGTAAGCAAGAAAGATGGAAGGTTTTCCATCTTCACATTGAATGAACTTGGGTCAGAGATGGAAGGAATTTGTGTCTGCTTGCTGAGTGAAATAGCAGCAAAAGTTGAGTTAAGTTCTAATGATTTCTTTGATACGAGTGGACCTGTGAAAGACATAACTTTTTCTGTTCCTGTTGTTGATGAACGTAAGTCAGAAATAAAAGGAATTTGTGTGGACTTGGCAACTATAAGGGCATCACAAGTAGGGGAACTTTTGCAGCTTCTGTTGGTGAATTAGTTTCAGAGAAAGAAACATTTCTAGATTCTTTTGATGAAACTGGGACTTGGAAAGGTGGTAGTGCTTGTTTGCCTGTATCTGATGAACTTAGATCAGAAAATGAAGTAAACTTAATAGACTTGATGCCTGAAATAGCAACAAAATCTGAGGGACATTGTGTAGATTCTCTTGATGAAAATGGACCCGGAAAAGATATAACTTCTTTGCATTCAGTAGGTGAATTCACATCAGAGAAGGAAGGAACTTGTATCAGTTTGTTTGTGGCAATAGCATGGTAGGTTGAAAGAAAGTGTATGTTTTCTTCTGATGATCTTGTATCAGAGAAATCAGGAACTTGTATGGATTTGTCTGATGAAGGTGGAACTGAGAAAGATTGAACTTCTTCACGTTCACTTGATGTTGAGTCAAAAAATGAAGGAACTTGTGTGGATTTTGTCATTGGAATTCCATTGGAGAACGACGAAAATGTCATAGATTTACTTGAAGAAATTATACCAGCAGAAGAAGGAACTTGCACTGATTTGCTTCCTGTAATTGTTCTAGATGCAGTTGAATCTTGTATAAATTCTCCTGATTGACTTGGACTGAAGGCAGACAGGACTTCTCCAGAGTCATTCACTAAAATTATTTCACATTTAGAGGGAATTTGAATAGCTTTATTTGAAAAAAATCTGTCAACATAAGGAACCTTTGTGGATTCCCTTGATGAGCTTAGTGCAGAGAAAGAAGGAAGTTCAGTGACAGCTATTGGTGCATTGGGGCCTGAGAAAGAGGGAAATTGCAGAGATTTGGTCAGGGCAAGTGGGCCTGAAGGCATTGCTTCTTCCATAGATTGGATCATTGAACTTAAATTAGATGGAGGAGGATTTCCTGAGACTTCTGTTGAGATAGCTGGACCTGAGATAGAAGGAAATTGCACAGATTTGGTCAGCAAAAGTGGGCTCAAAGGTATGGCATCCTCCATAGATTGAGTCGTGAAACTTAGAGTGGATGGAGGAGGAGTTCCTGGTACTTCTGTTGAGGTAGCCATGCTTGAGATTGAAGAAAATTGCCCAGATTTGGTTAGAAAAAGTGGGCCTAAAGATGTGGCATCTTCCATAGATTGAGTCAATGAACTTAAATTGGATAGAGGAGGATTTTCTGTGATTTCCCTTGGTGTAGTTGGAACAGAGGAAGATGGAGATTGCACAGATGTGGTCAGGTTAAGTAAGTCAAAAGATGTGGCACGTTCCATAGGTTCAGTCACTAAATTGAAGTTGGATGGAGGACGATTTTCTGTAACTTCCCCTGGTGTAGTCAAGTCAGAGGAATGTGGGGATTGCCCAAATAGCATCTCCTCAAGTAAGAGTAAAGCAGCTTCAGTCGAAGGAGTCAGTGAGCTTAAATTGGATAAAGGAGATTTTTTTGTGATTTTCCTTTGTGTAGCTGGGACAGAGGAAGATGGAGATTGCACAGATGCGGTCTGGTTAAGTAAGCTAAAAGGTGTGGCATATTCCATATGTTGAGTCACTGAACTGAGATTGGATGGTGGAGGATTTTGTGTAACTTTCACTGGTGTAGTCAGGTTAGAGGAATGTGGGGGTTTCACAGATAGGCTCTGGTCGAATGTGACTAAAGCAATTTCAGTGTAATGAGTCAATGAACTTAAATTGGATGGAGGAGGATTTTCTGTGATTTCTCTTGATGTAGCTGGGACAGAGGAAGATGGAGATTGCACAGATGTAGTCAGGTCAAGTAAGTCAAAAGATGTGGCATCTTCCATAGGTTGAGTCAGTGAATTGAAATTGAATGGTGGAGGATTTTGTGTAACTTCCACTGGTGTAATCAGGTCAGAGGAACATGGGGATTGCACAGATGTTGTCAGGTCAAGTAAGCCAAAAGGTGTGGCATCTTCCATTGATTGAGTCACAGAATTGAAATTGGATGGAGGAGGATTTCCTGTGACTTCTGTTGATGTAGTCGTGCATGAGACAGAAGGAAATTGCACAGATTTGGTCAATACTAAGAGGTCTGAAGGTGTGGCATCTATGACTGTTGGTGCAGTCGTGCATGAGACAGAAGGAAATTGCACAGATTTGGTCAGTGCAAGGAGGTCTGAAAGTGTGGCATCTTCCATGGATTGACTTTCTGTTGCTTCTGTTGATGTAGCTGAGTATGAGACAGAGGGAAATTGTATAGATTTGGTTGGTGCAAAGAGGTCTGAAGGTATGGCATCTTCTGTGGATTGATTTTCTGTGCCGTCTGTTGGTGTGGCTATGCCTGAGATAGAAGGAAATTGCACAGATATGCTCATTGCTGCTATTTTGGAAGCAATGGGATCTTCTGAGCTGGAGGTAGACATACATTTTGTGGATTCTCTAAATGAACTCGTGCTGGAAGATGAAGGAAATTCTGTCACTTCTCCCCCTGAACTTAGATCTGAATATGAGGAAACTTGTACAGATTTGTCTACTAAAAATGGTTCTAAGGAAGATGATCCTTGTGGCAATGTACTTGATGACCTTGGGACAGAGAAATATGAAACTTCCATGGATTCACTTGAGGAAGTTGGAGTATTGCACTGTGGATTTTGTATTGAAAGAGAAAATGGAATCATTTCTTCTGGTACTTTTGGGGAAGGCAGTGGAGGAGGAGGTGAATGAGGAGGGAGAGGGGGGGGAGGAGGGGGAGAGGGAGGAGGGGAAGAGGAAGGAGGTGGGTGGGTTACAGGACTTCCTAAAGATCTTAGTTTAAAGAAAGTGTAGCCTGTCATTAAGGAGACTGATTTGTTTTCCTCATTTTTGTCAGAAGGATTTTTCTCAGTTTGGATCCGCAAGTGGTTTTCCATATTCTCCTTTTGATTGGGCTCCTTGACTTCCGAAGACTGGAAATACGCATTCTATAAAGCCAACCAGAAATGATAAGTATTAATCTCCCCATAACCACTTCCTGTGAGAATCATCTTCTTTCCCACAGTTCCTCCTCAAAGCCATCTACCTCTTTCTAAGGTTTCTCAGCCTTCTCTAAGGTGCTCTTTCATCGTCATCAAATCCTCCTTTCTTCCCCTTCATATTGGGGCATTTCTACTGCCCACTCTGATCATATTTCACCATTTTCTGTCCTAACAGTAGGGTAAATACGTTGCTCAATAGGGTATTTAGGAAAATGACCATTATGTACTTACTCTACTATCAAAACAAGACAAAATGAAAAATTAAATCTAGAGAAGTAGAACAATCAGGGCAGCTAGGTGGTACAGTGGATGGAGCACTGGCCCTGGATTCAGGAGGACCTGAGTTCAAATCCAGCCTCAGATACATAACACTTACTAGCTGTGTGACCATAGGCAAGTCACTTAACCCCATTGCCTAGCCAAAAAAAAAGAGAAGTAGAACAATCCATCCCTGCTCTCTCAGACAGCTTAGACTCATTATTTGAGAGTCACCCAAAGGAAGAAGTGGCCACCTCTCCCCTCACTAAGGCAGAAATTGTTTATATTTTTTAATGCTTGGTCCTACCCACCAAAATGTAACTTAAGGCTGTATTGGTGAATGATACATAATTTCTTCAGGAGAATGTGCTATTTCTTTGGGTTTAATGTGTTTTTTAAACAGAACAATAAATAAACCAAAACCAAACGGCTGGTATTCATCATTTTTATTCCTTTCTATGGTACCTTTGGATGGGATGCCATATTTTATAGCCATGTTATCGGGTATCTTAAAAGGAAGTATTGATACTGGACTTAGGAAGGACTTAATGGGTGTGGGCTGCCCTCAACATAGAATGTGGGCAGTACTCTTAGTCTTGTAAATCTTTCCTCGAGACACAAATGACCCAGCTTTTCACAGGATATATCAATGGTGTGTCACCTACAGCAGTTTATGCCATACTGGAAAAGGCCCAGCAAGGACCGCTGGGAGGCTGAGCTATCTAGGAACTGGTCCGACTCAGGGTACCCGGGGCTATTAAGAGATAAGTTTCTTGGGCAAGGTTTGTGTCAGAATATTTTCTCATTTCCTTTTCAACTTCTTTTCCTCCTGTTTATGTTTTGGGAGGATGGCGATCTTATGTGTACAGAATAATTGAATCATTGGATAGTAATTTTGAATGTTCAATTAGCATTTCATAAAAGTATCCAGGCATCTCAAGGGAAGTATAAAATTTTTCCTTTCCCAAGGTTGCAATAATATTGGATACTCGTCTTGTCTTTTATATTTTATAGGGCTCTTTGTCTACATTATACTATTTGCTCTCTCAAGCCCACAAAAGACAAAGACCCCCAAAGTTTGTACTAGAAGAAAAATTCGCCTTGTTCTTCACCACCCAAATTGCATAAAGGATGCAGATGCAGAAAAGTTAAATGATGTGTCCTTGGTCACAAAGCCAGTGGGTGTGGATTTCCACCATGACTCTTGTAATGCCAAGCTCAGGCCTAAAACCATAGAGTTTTAGTGGCAGCTAGGGATGCTGGCTCTGGGCCCAGCAGAAGAAGCCCAAAAGGAGCAGAGACTTTTATATGAATTGGAAGGAGCAGGGCATTTCTTTCTGGTGGAAAGTGTCCTACCACTTCCTTATTAACACCCCCCACCCCCAACTCCCTTCACCTGCTCCTCAAAGGACTACTGTACTTCATTTCACTCCCTGAATACATCTTCAAGAAGATGCCAGTCCAGTCACCTTCCAAGATGTCACAACCTGTCTTGGCTCTCTCAGTGATGTTGAACAAGCCTCATCTGTAGGGCTTTTCCCTGTTCTTTTACGCTTCAAGGCTAAGACTACTGCAGCGATGGAGAATTGGATGATGGTGAGGATCAGCAAGACAGAGAGAATACCCTGCAAGAGACAGAGGGGCGTGAACAAAGAGTGGAACTGTGCACCTTTCCCAGGGTTGGAGGTGATGGGCGCCTGAATGCTGTCAGAGGGCCATGGAGCAGGGCAGGGACTCCATCCCCCACCTGCTTCTGCAGTCGTGGGGTGTGGGCACATTGCAGATTTGGTATCATGTTATCATCATCGCGACAATGACAACAGCAAGGACTGGCATTCACGTAGCACTTTTTTAAGGTTTACAAAGCACTTAACGTTGATGATCTCAGTTGATTCAAACAACGACCCTGTGAGGTAGATGCCATTTTATGGATGAGGAAACTGAAGAGGAGAGAGGTTGTGACTTGTTCAAGACTCTTGAGACGTTAGTTAAGACACAGTTTAGAATGTCCAAGACAGGATTTGAACTCAGGCCCTTTCATTCCACCACTTCACTGCCGCTAAGCCAATTTAATATTGCAATTAGGCTTTTTTGTGTGTGTCATGGACCCCTTTGGCATTTTGGTGAAATCCTATGGACTCTTCAGGATAATGTTTTTACGTGCATAAAATATATAATTTTTTAAAAGGTTACCAATTATTTTGAAATGTGTATAGTTATATATATGTGTGTGTGTGTGTGTGTGTGTGTGTGTGTGTGTGTGTGTGACAGAGCCCAAGTTAAGAGCCTCTGCCATCAGGTAACATTCAAATGTTCACCGTTGCAAAGGAAATGCTGTGGCTGGTTTTGGTCCCTTCCCTCTCAAACCCATTCTGGAGCTGAAGTATGACTGTGCTCCAATAGAGCTGTCTTTGGAGGAACCCCCTAGGAATGCCCATGAATGGGAGGTGAGTTGGGGGAACAGTTCCTTGTTCTGACCTGGAATTCTGATATGACATCCAGGTCAGAAGGTAGGCAGGAAGGAAATGGAAGTGTGTGTGGCTTTGCAGGTAGTCAGCTAGGCTTCCTACACCTGGAATCTCTGAATCCAGAAGGAATTGAGACTGTGGGAGTCTATCTCACCAGGCAGTACATTTCATTGGTGTTCAGCTCTGAAGATTAGGACTTCTTTCTTTAATTAAGCTGGAATCTACGCATTGAATCCTGTTGGCTCTAATCTCTTCCAGGTGAGAACTCCAGGTAATCTGAAGAAAGCAATCATGGCTGCACCTGGTTTTCTCCTGTCCAGGATAAGCATTTCTTCAACTTTTTTTTTCATATTAGCTAGTTCGTGTGACAACATATGTGATGTTCCACACCCATAGTCTTTTCCCTTTGCAGACAAGAAAGGGAGATACCTTTTCTCATCCCCTTTTAGGGGCCAGGCTGGGTAATTGCTGTTATTCAGAGTTATATGGACCTTCCTTTTTGATTCTTGTTAAATTTCCTATGATGTGATTTGGCTTCCTTGTCAAATTCTCTTCCAGGTTATTTGAATACAATTAAGTCAAATTGTCCCTAGGGACCTGCATTTCCAGAGCAATATCCATTCATGCTTTCTTTGCTGCCTCCCAGCTAGTTTTCAAATCTTGAAAACATAGTTCTCATAGGATAGTGACTAAATTTTTTATTTCATTGGTATAGAAGTCTCCCAGGTGGGAAGATTCCCTCTACCAATGCAGGTTGGCAGCTTTTCTGCAGCCTGTGGTCTTGGAGAGTTGTTTAGAGTCCTGAAGGTTTAAGTGAATGAATTGGGCCTAGCCCAAGGACTGGGATGAAGTCACTGAGGCAGCAAGCCAAGGGCTTAATATCTGTGACCCACGGACCTAGAATTGAAACCGATCTAAGCTCATTCCCAGATAGAGGGCCCTCCATATACACTGGATTGGACATCCCCAGGTGGTTCCATGATAACTTTTCCCACCAAGAATCAGTGTTTGGGGTCGGTCACCTTGATGATACTTAGGAAGCATCATTAGGATACTTAGGAAGGCAAAGAGGTTAGCATAAGGGGCTTAGATTCAATAAGACCTGCTTCAGAGCCTGCCTTTTACCCTTAGAAATCCTCACCTTCCTTCTGTGTAAATCAGGCTGAGTCACAGAAGGGCTGAAGGCAGGGTAGAAGTAGTTTCCCAGAAAGAGTCATAAAAGTGAGGTCCCTTTGGTTCTCCTCTAGTAACCTCTGAGCTAGTGCTTTGACCATTCACAGAATGGAATCAGTTCAGTTATTTGACTGAGTAACCCAGAACTCTTTGCGTCCTAGATGCATTATTTGAAGGAGAAAAGCAAGAATGTTTTTTCAGTCACACTGTGGATCAGGGAGAATGGAGGAAGCTGGCATCTCCTGGCATCTCCCAGTAGATACCGAGTTGTCTCTGTTTCTGTCCTTGCAGTTCAAGAAAGATTAAGTCTGAGGAACTGAGATCCATGGGCAGAGTCATGAAGGTTTGTCAGCGGTGACTGGAAGCCCAGAAAGCTTCATCGGCTTTTAGGGAGCAGACAGAGTGGGGAGGAGGAGGCACTTCTGAATGAATGAAACAGTGAACTGTTTCTTGCTTTTCGAGCTAGAAGACATCTTAGAGGCAGTGTGGTGTAATCAAGGCATTGCTAGGTTTGCAATCAGGAAGACTGACTCTGAGCCCCGCCCAGATACCTGTTCACTCTGGACCTCAGGCAAGTCACTTAACCTCTTCACATCTCATTGTCCTGTGTGTAAAATGGGGATGATGCTGACACCTGCTGTACATGGCTCACCAGGAGGATCAGATGTAGCCGTGTGAGGAAGCCACAGTTGTATTGGTAACACCATGTAGTCCAAGTCTCCAGCTTTACAAATAAGGAGAATGAGACCCAGCCATGGGAAGGGATATGCCAAGTCACAGGGATGGTCAGACAGCACTAATGCATCCATCCTTTAATTTGTTTCTCACACATGTCCTATGATATGAACAGTGGGGATATTGTTGTCCTCATTTTATAGGCTTAAAAGCTGAGGTTCAGAGAAGAAAAAAGGGGTCTGACCAAGGTCACAGAGCCAGAATTGAAATTCAGGCCTCTTGCCTCTGTATCCCAAGTCCAGAACGCTGCCCGGGGCTCTTCTGATGTCAAGAAACATCCAAGTTTGCCTTAATCATTAGGTAATACTCATTTGGATTCTACAACATTTATATTACAGTAATTGAGGTTCTAAAGTCTTTATAGAGTTTATTCTCAGAAGTAACTTCAAGATTTTCTCGCTGACCTAGACCATCTCATTGCCTCCCTCATTTTGCTTAGGAAAACCTTTTATTTTTTAGAGGTGTTGCTGAGCTCACCGTCAGTCCAGTCTTCCCACATGGCATCTCTCAAATCCGTCGTCTGCTCTGCCCTCACACAGCCCCCACCATTCCTGATGAATACCTCCTCTCCTTGCCTCTCTCCTGCACTGTTACAGCAGCTCCCTCCTCACGCCTCCGTCCGGCTCCTCTTCTGCAAAGCTGCCTTAATTACCTTCCTGAAACCCAGGTTTGATGGTAGTGCTCCCCTGTTCGAGCGCCTTCTATGGCTTCCGTTTATAAATAGGATTAAATATTGTTCTTCAGTTGTTTCTCAGTCGTGTTTGACTCTGTGACCCCATTTGGGTTCTCTTGGCAAAGATACTGCAGTGGTTTGCCACTTGCCTCTCCAGCCCATTTTGCAGATGAGAAAACCAAGGGAAACGGGGTTAGGTGACTTGCCCAGCATCACACAGCTGGGAGTATCTGAGGCTGGCTCTGAACTCAAAAAGATGAGTTGGCCTGACTCCAGTCTCCGTACTCTGTGCGCTATGGCATCACCTACCTGGCCAAGGATAAAATAGCCTGCCTTCCCCGCAGCTTACGTTCCCTGCCCTGTGTCATATGATGTCCCTTCATTCATTTTTGTATTCCAGCTCAGCTGGCCCACGTCATGTTTTCTGAGCTGGACCTTTCAGACTTGCACCTTTGCTGCCTCTCATGCCTGGCTGGCCCCCCCTCCTCACCCTGACCTCTTAGAATCCTGGACCATCTTTTCTGGGAAGTCACCCCTGATTCCCACAGAGGTATTAGCGTCTCTCTCTCTTTCTCTCTCTCTCCTCCTCAATGGTCATATCTGTTTAGACATTGTCTCCTCCCAGCTGAGGAGAAGCGCCTTGAACACAGGGACTCTTTTCTAGTTTGTCTTTGATTTTCCAGTGCCTTCTACATAGTGTTTATCAGATTGGTTTGGAAAGAAAGAACGGTAATAATTATAAGCATTTCTATAGCACTTTAAGGATTTCAGAACTGCGTGTTGTCTCCTTTGCGCCTCATCACAACCCTGTGAGATAGGTGCCATTAGTCTCCTCATCTTACAGATAACGAAGCTGAAGTTCAGGGCCTTACCCAGCCAGTAACGGCGGGAGGCAGCTCTTCCTGATTCCAGGTCCAGCGGTCTGTCCATGTTGTCCTCTAGCTGCCTCAGAACACACGTTCTGAACTGCTGGGGTGTGAGTCCAGTTACATTTTATTCTATGGTGTGGAGCTGCTAGGTGGCAGCTGGATAGAACCCTGGGCCTGGAATCAGAATCATATGCCTGACTTCCAAAGCAGCCTCAGGCACTTAGCTGTGTGACACTGGGAAAGTCTCTTCACTCTGTTTGTCACAGTTTGATCATCTGTAAAATGAGCTGGAGAAGGACATGGCAAACTATTTCAGTATCTTTGCCAAGAAAACCCCACATGGGGTCACAAACAGCAGGATGTGACTGAAAAATGACCGAATGTCTAGGGTGTAATTCAGGTCACACTAAGGGATTTCAACATATGGAATAAAATTACTTACACGAAGAAGGATTTCACTCATGATACACATGCTGTTTGCTGAAGGGCGAACACATTGAAGAAGCCGGTGGACAGATAAGCTGTAGAAGAGGATGCCGATCCCAGATGCAGAGACCATGGCACTCAGAATGTCCATGTAAAGGCTCACGTGGTCCTGAAAGAGAATAACTGCAGATGCTGCTTCTTCCCCCTCAGCTGGAGCGCCTGCAGTGCCCAGGGGGAGAGAGTTCCCAAAGCAGGGTACACGTTTTATATGGATAAAACCATACATAATTTGAATCAAGAATCTGTTCTTACCTGACTTTCACATTTCACACCATTAAGAATGGTAAAGACTCCTGTAATGGTGTACTGTGAAGAAGAGAGTAAATTTGTTAGTAGGTCCCAGGGGGTCTCCAGAGGCTGCGCTCTTTTGATTTATACCATCACCAAACCCTCAGGACGTCAGCAGAGTAGCACAAAGCAGCAGAGAGATGTTATAGTGGGGCCAAAGGGGGCATACAATATAAGTCACGATATTATCGGGACAAAAGAGAAATCTACCCAGAGTTCTAGGAGAAATTTCAGTTGAGAGAGATCACTTTCAGTTGAGGCAATTAGAAAAGTTTTCGTGATTTTCAGCAGGTCTCAAAGATGGGAGAGGACACTCCAGGCCTGGTATAGAGAGGGGCAGGGATCAAACCTCAGAAATGTGAAAGGGCCAGGTGACAGTGGGGGCACAATGGAGACCAGTAGTCCACTTGCCTTAAAAGATTGAGTATGTAAAGCAGCATGCTTTGGGGCAGAAAGAATGAGTAAGGGGTATGGAACTCTATCTTACTCTACAGAAAAATAAGGGGGAAGGGGACAAGCGAGCAGTGGGGTAGAGCGGAGGGCAGATTGGGGGAGGGGATAATCAGAAGCAAACACTTCTGAGGAGGGACAGGGTCAAAAGAGAGAATAGAATAAATGGGGGGGTAGGAGAGGATGAAGGAAAATATACTTAGTTTTTCACAACATGACTACTATGGAAGTGTTTTGCATGACTACACATGTATAACCTGTATCGAGATGCTTGCCTTCTCAATGAGAGTGGGTGGGGAGGGAGGAAGGGAGAAAATTTGTAACCAAAAGTCTTAAAAACACATGTTAAAAAAAAAAAAAGAGTGAGTAAGAACCAGAGTGTGAAGGGCTGTGGTTACCAGGATAAGCTAGGCATTGGGAAGACCATGAAGGTCTTTGTGTAAAGTAGGGGAGGGATCAGGGTGGTGCTTTCAGAACACAATACATGGAAAACTATGAATGGATTAGAAATGGGAAAAGAAGGCAGAGAGGAGCCCCTCCTAAAATGTGGAGCTCTACCAGCCACCAGTCTCATTCTTTTCAATGTTGGTTTCCAAGTGGTCATATCCTCCATACTACTTTGATTATTTCCCCAATTTTCTAAGGGGAAGAAGAACTGCGAAGAGCCCCTCAGACAGTTTCCCATAAAGCCACGTTTATACCTTGTTCTAGGAGAGGTTTCTATTATTCATGGTAGATTCCAAGACTGCTGGGAAAGCAGTAGGTGACTAGCCAAAGGATACAAGCCAGGCACCACCCACTGGCTCTGTCCTGTTGGTGCCCAGCATGGGATGAGACAGGCAGGCTTTCTCAGCCTTTCACAATTCATTGCAAAATTGGACAAGCCTAGCGTCTTACTTACATGGATAGAATCAGGTTCCTGGATACTACTAGGAATTTCAAAATGGCGTTTTCATCCTGGCATCCAAAATTATTCTGTTCACTATACTCACACATGCTCCTGTCCAGAATGGATACTTCGTGATAAAGAAATGAGGAATACTTGACTTTGGAAGGCCAACTTTGTTGGTGTTGGAAAATAATAAGGCTCCAAACGAAGTGATGATTAGACCTATCAGGATCTGGAGAACCTGTGTTTAAAAAAATGAAAAATTTGGACATGGGTGCAAGTAGATTCCTAAACAAATGAGTCCTGATCTAGGTTTGGGAACTCGGGAAGAGCTTTCAAAAGTGGAGAGGGAGGGCGTGATAAATAAGACCTTGTTACCCACCAATCTTCTCTTCTCTTTTCAATCAAGTTCTTACCCTGATTACAAATGGAAATCTGTGATCTCAAATGGATAAGGCTGCTAGATGAAGAGCATGGGAGAGAGAGGCCTGCCTTGAGGTGACACTTCTATTCAATGAAAGTCAACAAACCAAGTACTCAGTATGTGCAAGGTCCTGTATTCAATTCTGGGGATACAAAATCAAGAAAACTGTCTGCCCTCTAGGAGTTTGTATTCTACTGCAGCTGGTGATGCAGGAGGACGGAGTGCTGGGCCTGGAGTCAGGACCACCCGAGTTCAAACATAGCTTCAGACGCTTGTGAGCTGGGCGACCCTGGGCAAATAACTTACTCTCTCAGCCTCAGTTTCCTCATCTGTGAAGTGAGGATAATAAGAGTACCTGCCTCCCAAGGTTCTCACGATGAGCAAGTGAGATGGTATTTTTAAAGCACTTGGTGCAGTGCTTGTCACACAGTAGGTGCTTAATAGATGTTTATTACCTTCCCTTCCCTTCTCTATGGATACAGACGGATTCGACACGGACATTAAAAATGAAATGCGAATTAATGAAATAGTGATTTCCAGAAGAGGAGCACCTGAATAATGTTGGGAGGAGAAGGAATCAAGAAACAACCTCTGGGAGGAATTGGCGCCTACGCTGCTCTTTGAAGGGAGTTGGGGATTTTAGTCAGTTGTGAGAGAGGAGGGGCCACACTCCAGATGTCAAGGGCAGCCCGTGCTAAGCGGTGGAGGCAGGACAGGGAATGAGGCACTGAGGGCACTGAGGGGAGTTCCGTTTGATAAGGGTGAATCGTGTAGGAAGGCAAACAGGAAGACTGGTGTGGGGCGTGCCACATGAGGGGCGTTCAGGCCCAGGCCAAGGAGTTTGTACGTTATTAGACAATAAGGAGCCGTTGAAGATTTTTGAGTGCAGGGGTGAAGTATTCAGAACCTTGTTCTCAAAGGAAAGGTTAATCTCTAGGTGAAGATTACATCTGATCATCACTTATTTAACAATATTATTTGATTAAGGAGAGAAGGAAAGCAGAGAGTAAAACAAACAGCGTCCTTATACCATCCCATCAGGCTAGGAAAGAAATAGCACAGGGCCAAGACGGCAGATTGGGGCAGCCACTCAGCTGAACGCTCCCAACATTCCCCTCAAAACAATGCCCCAAATCAAATTGTGGACTGGCAGTGCCAGCAAAAGATCAAGGTGAGACATTTTTCTGGCCAAAGAAGACTTAGGAGGTCAGCAGGAGAAGTTTGTGGCATCAGGGTGGAGGCCTGTCCAGAACCCACACGTACAGTATTGATGACAGAGCCTGCAGTAATAGTCACAGCAGCAACTTCAGGAGCTCCTAACCCAGAGACAGGAGGTCAGACAACTTGTCAGGGGCACTGGGTATAGCTGGCACTGATTGACAACTGTATCAACTATACACAGTTCTGGGTCACCGTTTCAGGAAGGAAAGGAGTTCTAGTGGTCAGTCACAGTGGAGCAGGGGCCCTGTTCACAGTTCCAAAGCAAACAGAGCAATACCACTTGTGGGGCAGGGGACCAAGGACCCTTCCTGAGTAAAAACCAGAGTACAGATCAGGAGAGCAAAGACCATATCTCACCCAAGACCACACCAACTTGGAGGCATCAAAAACTTGTGGACTCCCAGAACTGGTTCTGAAAACAGCATCACAAAAAAGCCTGAAGCTCGGGGTAGTGCTTCCTGCCCCCCCCCCCAGAGGAGCAGAGCCCAACTTTAACATGCAGTTCAAAATCAAGAAATAGGCTAAAAAAATAATCAAACAACAAAGAATTTGACCGTAAAAAAGCTCCTATGATGGCAGGCAAAATCAAGACAAACTCAGTTTTTGGTCTTTTTTTTCCCTTTTTTTGGGAGGCAGTTGGGATTAAGTGACTTGCCCAGGGTCACACAGCTAGTAAGTGTCAAGTGTCTGAGACTGGATTTGAACTCGGGTCCTCCTGACTCCAAGGGCAGAGCGCTACTGTGCCACCTAGCTGCCCCTCAAGACAAACTCAGAAGAAGATAACAATGTGAAAACAGCTAGAAACAAAGCCTCAAAGAAAAATGCTAACTAGATCCAAATACAACAAGAATTCCCAGAGCACTAAAGAAAGAGATGAGTGGTAGAGGAAGAATTGGGAAAAGAAATAAGAGTGATGCAAGAAAATTATTAAAAGAGAATTAATGATTTGGTAAAAGGTCCAAAAACCCTAAAGAAAATAATACCTTAAAAACAGAATTGGCCAGGTGGTAAAAGAGACACAAAAAGAGAAGAACTCTTTAAAAGGTAGGATAGGCCAAATGGGAAAGGAGGTACAAAAATCCACTGAAGAAAAGAATGCCTTAAAAAATAGAATTGCCCAAAAGGAAAAAAGAGGTACAAAAACTCACTGAAGAAAATAATTCCTCAAAAATTAGAATTGGGCAAATAGAAGCTAATGAGTCCATGACATGGACATCAAGAAACAATAAAACAAAGTCAAAAGAATGAAAAAAAAAAGAAAAAAGTAAAATATTTTATCATAAAAATAACTGACCTAGAAAGTAGAACAAGGAGAGATAATTTAAGAATTATGGGACTATCTGAAAATCATGATCAAAGAAAGAACACAGACATCGTATTTCAAGAAGTTACCAAGGAAAATTTCCCTGACATCTTAAATCTAGAGAGTAAAATAGAAATTGGAAGAATTCACTGATCACCTCCTGAAAGAGTTCTCAAATGAAAACTCTCAGGAATATTATAGCCAAATTTCAGAGCTCCCAGGTCACAGAAAAAAATGCTTCAAACAGCCAGAAACAAAAAATTCAGATATCATGGAGCCACAGTCAGTATAAAAAAGTAATATCAAAAAAATTTTACAGCAAGTTTCTCTAATTAAGCTCTCATTTCTCAAGTATATACTGATTATAGAACTGAGTCAAATTTATAAAAAAAAAAAGAGCTATTCCCCAATTGACAAATGATCATAGGATATAAACAGGCAGTTTTCAAAAGAAGAAATCAAAGCTATCTATAGTCATATTAAAAATAATTAATATTGATCAGTAAAATGCAAAATAAAACAACTCTGAGGTACTGCCTCATACTTATCAGAAATGACAAATGCTGGAGGAGATGAAGGAAAAATAGGCCTACTAATGAACTCCTAGTGGACTAATGAACTGATCCAACCATTCTGGAGAACAATTTGGAACTAGGCCCAAAGGACTATACCCAGCAATACCACTAGTAGGTCTATATCCCAAAGATATCAAAGAAAGGGGAAAAGGACCTAGATGTACAAAAATATTTCTAGCAAATCTTTCTGTGTTTGTAAGGAATTGGAAATTGAAGGGATGGCAGTCAGTTGGGGGAATAGCTGAACAAGTTGTAGCATATGGTTCAGATGGAGTACTATTGTGCTGTAAGAAATGATGAGGTTTCATATGGTTTCAGAAAAAATCATGTCAAGATCTATATGAACTGATCCAAAGTGAAGCGAGAACTGAGAAATCACTGTGCACAGTAACAGTAATAGCAATTTTAATGATGATCAACTGTGAAAGATTTGGCTACTGTAATCAATAGAATGATCTAAGACAATTTCAGAGTACCTATGATGAAAAAATGCTATCTACCTCCAGAGAGAGAACTGATGAACTCTGAGTGCAAATTGGAGTATAACTTCCTCACTTTAATTTTCTTGCTTTTTTTTGAAAGATGCCTGATATAGAAATATATTTCACATTTCATAATTGATATCATTGCTTGCCTTCTCAGTGGATGGTGGAGGGGAGGAGGGAGAGAATTTGGAACTCAAAATTTAAAGAGAAAAGAATGTTAAAAATAAATAAATGATAAATAAAATGTAAAAAAAAAAAGAATGAATAGTAGGCACCAAAAATACAAAAATAAAAAAGTCATCTAGAAAAAACATGATGAGGATCTGAGTTTGTGTAGGGGTGCTTTGTGTAGAAGGAACCTAAATGATTGATGAATGAAGACATGACAGTACTTGGTGGATGATTGGATCCTTCTGCCTTTCATAGACATCGTATTTCAAGGCTCAGGTTATAGAAACTTGGAGGGGTTGTGTTCCATGTAACAACAGAGAAGATGGTGGGGGAGGGAGAGGAAGGGAGCATAGCATAGGGGTAGGACCATCTGATTCTTCCCTCTGGGTAAGGTTGGTGAGAGTATACTCATGTATTCCCTAGGTTAAACATTTAAAATACCATTTCTAAGAGGCCAAATGTTCCTTGTGAAACAGTGGAGTGTTCTGTTTGGCATCCTCTGATTAGGGTTGGTCTACCATTGTGGATTGACTTAATTCCCACTAGGATTCCCCCCACCCCTCCATCTGCCCCCGCTTGTAGCACATTCTCTGACAGTTCTGAAGAGCATCCTTATTTTTACATATCATCCAGTTGGTGGCCAAATCTTGTCATTTGTATCCTCATGGCATGTCTCATATATTCTCTCTCCTCTCTGCTCACGCAGTCCCCACTTTGGTTCAGGCCCTCTCACATCTCACCTGGACCATTTCAATGATCTCCTTTTGAGTCATCCTACTTTAAATCTCTCCTGAATTCCCTCCATCTTATTTTCCTTCACTTAGCTGCCAAAGTGATTTTGTAAATTGAAGGTCTGATCATATCACTTCCTGCCTAATAAATGTGAGTGAACCCCTTTGGGTCAAATATGAATTGTTTTTTTTTAAATTAAAATACTCTCAACATGTCCCCCTTCTTTCTTTGACAGTCTTGCTAGATATTTTTCTCCCCCATGCATTGTATGATCCAGGCACACTGGTCTACCACACATGGCATTCTGTCTTCTATTTGTTTCTTTGGTTCTTCCTCTTCTTAAAATGTTCTCCCACTTTGTCTCTACCCTGTGGAGTCCCTGGTTCCTTTAAAACTCAGATAAAATACAACCTTTTACCTGAGCAATGGATCCCACTTTCCCAAGCTGCTAGAGCTCTCCATCTCCCAGAGATCATGTATTCTGTAAATATTTAGAGATGTATGTTATGTCTCCCTTTCATTTTTAAGTGCTTTGAAGAGAGAAACTTTTGTTTTTGTGTTCTCAGAGCTTAGCACATTTGTCTGGTACATAGTAGGTTAAAGAGTAAGGTTGGGTACCCACTACATTCCAATGCCTATGTGTACAGAGAAACAGTCATCTTTTTCCATTAGAGCTCCCATCTGACTATAGGGTTTTCCGCATTCAAGAAATGAACTTCAAATTCAGGGCAGGGGTTTTTGTTTTGGGTTTTTTTTTTACCTTTAACTTTTTGTTTTTAATCATCTTGTATGTCAACAACACTGGCTATTTTTTTAAATCAGTGACCTGCCTGTTAGAAAATGAAATTAAGGTTAGAAAATAGAAGATTAGGGTTTGAGTGTCTCATGGATTGTCTACAAGGAAACTTTTAAAATTGGTATACTTAGTTCCTTCTCGGTGATCCTGCTGCCCACCAGACTGAATCCCCAATCTGCAGTCATACAGATCTAAAAGACCAAAAGGAATGATCAGCCTTTTCTTTAATATGAGGAACAGATCTGACTTACCCCTATTATCTTTGGCTTCCCTTTAAGCAAACCTGGCACAAAATCTTGACATATATAAGGAGCTGCAGTCATTTTTAGCTTTCCTTTACGGCAAGGATTTAGAAAGTTCTTCATCTTTTCTTTGGCTCTTGGCTTTGCCTCCACGATGTTGGAATTCATTCTGGGGCAGATATCTGCTCAGAATCTAAGCAGCCTTGCCTTGCCTCCCACATCACATTCTGCTTCTCCTCTGGCCTGCTCAACTAGCCCTCTGCTTTCTATTGGAATCCTAAAATCATGGAATCCTGGAGTCATAGTGTCATGGAACTCCAGAGTCATAGAGCCATGGGCTTGGCAAGGACCTCGAGGCTTCATTTCTTGACAGTTGCTTATTTTTTAATTTTTATTTTTGTCTTACAAATTTGGCAAAAACATGAATGCTTCTCTATAAAATGAACACTAAACAGGATTGAATGTGAACTCATGAGTTTCTGGCATATATGACTCCATACTTTTTAAAGTGCTTATTAAAGTTAACTAAGGGAGAGCTGTGTTATAAAAACCTGGAGAGAAGAGAAACATGCAGGAGAAGAGCCTGATCAGTAGTGTCAAAGGTGGCAGAGAGGTCAAGAAAGATAAAGATTGAGAAAAGGCCACCAGATTTGAGAATTAAGAGATCACTGGTTACTTTGGAGAGAACAGCTTCAGTTGAATGATGAGGTCAGAAACCAATCTGTAGAGTTAAGAAAAAGGTGAGAGGAAAGGGAATAGCGGCCTTCTCAATAGCCACAGAAGGAAGGAGAAATGTGGGACAATTGCTATCAGGGCTGTATGGGTAGTGTTTGAGTGAGGATCAGTGGAATAAGAAATAGATTAGCCCCATGGGCTCACAGATGTGGCATTTAAAAAGGTTTGAGAGACAGAATTTCTGAGTATTTAATCATTTTATTATAATGCCAGCAATTTAATAAAAGGATGGTTGTTTGGCCATCTGTCTCTTAGATCAAAAAACAATTATGGTGGTGGAGCTCACAGTTTATATGCCCTTTTGGGAGAGTAGTGTTTCTGAGGGCATTCAACTCTGATTAGTTAACAGTTAATGAGACAATGAATATTACAGTGAGGGGCTGGACCTGGACTCTGATTATATAATTTATTTCTTAGGTTAGCCCCAGCCTTGGGCAACATATTTAAAGAATTTATCCCCACCCAAACCTGAGCAGAGTACAATGGCTGCCCCACCTGGATGGGGTTGTGGCTAGAGAAGGAGCTTAGCTCAACCTTCAGAGACTGAGGTCTTGAAATGAGGAAGAAAAAGGGGGAAATCTGAATTTCCCCAAATCATTGGCTGTTAATAATAATTTCTCTCAAGAACTACTGGAGGAATTCAAGACGTGACATGTCTTGAGAGACACAACAGTGCTGACCCAGAAATAGGATAAATCCACTACCTAGCTCTTTTCTGCCAATCTCTCTGAGAAAAAAAAATAGAGCAGTTAATGAAGTCTTATGCCTTGCTTATAATTTCTTCTTTCAGTTGATGGAGGACACAACCAGAGGAACCGTAATTTTGACCCTGATTCTCATGATTTTTTACCTTGAGAGATATGTGTAGATGAAGAGAATATTGTGGATATAGTTTACCTAAATTTTAAAAAAGCTTTTGATAAAGTATTTCATGGTATACTTGTAGAGAAGACTGAGAGATAAGAATTAAACAATAATGAAGTCAGATCAGTTGAAACTCAAGGTTGCTTTGCTGGTGGTCTAGACTTCAGACTGTCAAGACTGTTGTCCCGTATTTCTAGTTCCTTTTGTGGCTGAACTGCTTGAGAAATCCACTATCCCTTTCCTCTCACCTTCTCCTTAACTCTACAGACTGGCTTCTGGCTCCATCATTCAACTGAAAATGTTCTCTCCAACGTGACTAGTGATCCCTTATTTCTCAAAGTTAGTGGCCTTTTCTCAGTCTTCATCTTCAATATCAGTGTGTGAAGAGGTCTCCAGTAGAGTTCGCAGGGATCTGTGCTTGGCTCTGAACCATTGTATATTTCTGTCAATGACTTGGATAAAGACAGGTAGTATACTCATCCAAAAAGCTGGGAGAGAATGCTAATACGTTAGCTGAAAGCACCAGGATCCCAAAGTGCCTTGACAAGCTAGAGCTTTGGGCTGAATCTAGTCAGGGACAACTGTGAAGTCATGCACTTGGATATCAAAAAAATGAATTTCCTAAGTGTAAGATAGGGAAGACTGATGTAGTGTTCACAAAGTGAATTATATCCATCATCTCATTTAACCCTCAAAAGAACTTGGCTTAAAGCGCTATATAAATGCCACTAATAATAATAACAATAACAATTATGATGAGGGTAATACTAACCTACAGCCACTAGGCCTCCATTCTGGTGATACCTTCATTCTTTGAGCCTTTCTTTCCTGCTGAGCCCAAGGAATGCTTATAGCGTATTACAAGGCAATACTAGTAAAGGTTCAACCACTGGGCTGTTCAGAAAAAAAAATTGTATGCCTGTACACTTTTAAGTTAAATCCACATTTATTAACACTTTCTTAAGTCTATACAATCAACAAAACAGTAACCCAAGTCTCTGTTGTGTGAGATTGCTGATTTCTTCAGGGCAAATGCTCCCACTGAAAATTCCAGTCAGGCTCTCACAAGCAGGTTAGAGCTGCCCCCAGCCTGGGCCTGCTCAGCCCCAGCCCTTCCTGCTGGCTTCCCTCCAGGAGCTTGCTCCATCCATTGACCCGTCTCCCCCACAGCCCCCTTTCAGTTGATGCCCCTTCTGTTTTTTTTTCCTTTTCTTCTCTATGTTCCTTTAAGATACAGCTGAAAGTATCATCTTTTACATGAAGCCTTTCCTTATGCTTCCAACCACTGCTGCCTTCCCCCAAATGACCTTGCATCTCTCCTCTTTATATGTATTTTTGTATATACTTACATAAGAACAGATGAAGTACTATATGTAAAGAGCTTTGCAAATCTCAAAGCCTCCACATCTGCTGGCTATTACTATATTATTATGTCCTTGAGGTCTTTCCCATTTGGATGTAAACTCCTCAGGAGCAGAGATTATTTCTTTTTTAATTTTTTCACTTTCTTTCTTTCTTTCTTTCTTTTTTTTTTTTTTTGGTGAGGCAATTAGGGTTAAGTGACTTGCCCAGAGTCACACAGCCAGTGTCAAGTGTGTGAGGCTGGATTTGAACTCAGATCCTCCTGACTCTAGGGCTGGTGCTCTATCCACTGCACAGCCCAGCTTCCCTAAGCAGGGATTATTTCACCCATCACACTTGTTTTGTCTTGGGTTTTGGACTCTGGAGGCACTTAATAAATGCTTGCGATTGATTCATTGGTCAGTCAGTTGGCTCACTTGTTTTGGAGAGGTGGGGAACCTTCTGAGGATGTTGGTCTGTTTATACAGCTGTAACTGATTCTGATGGAAGAGTAAATGGAAAGGGAAGATTTAAAGAGACTGGAGAGAATATAACCAGTAGGATAGCTTAGTGAGGTTTGGTGAGATTCATGGGTGAGGGCTTTGTTTTGTTTCTGAAAACCTCCCTGGAAAGGGATGAAGAGTCCCCTTAAGACCGCATTTGAGATGGTAGAAAACATCTGAGCACTGGCCCTGAATTCAGGAGGACCTGAGTTCAAATCCAGCCTCAACACATAACACTTACTAGCTGTGTGACCCTGGGCAAGTCACTTAACCCCATTGCCTAGCCAAAAAAAAAAAATCTGGATATTGTATAGGGGAGTGCCTTTGGACTTTTTACTTGTTGATTGATTTACACATCATTTAGGACAAGTGGCAGAGCCCTGATGATCTAGGGATGGTTTAATTGAGTTATGGGGATTAGAGGTCTAATCCTGACCTTGTGCTGGAGCTTTTGAAAGGGAAGAGAAGATCTGCCAGAGATTGTAGAACTGGAGAGTGTTATGCCGAAGACCCAAACTAGGAGAGCTGTGAGAGGGCTGCCGCCCGGAAATCGGATTAGGGTCCCTTGGAGGGTGGAGAGGAGTAAGCCTATGCAGCTACCTAGCAGTCCCCTCACCAGTGATGGCGGCCATGGAAATACATGGAGAAATCCTGTGGAGAGCGCAGGACCATAGAAGAAGACGTGATGTGTCCTAAAGGATTGGGATGGGTGGGGAAGAGGAGAGGAACATCCATGTACAGCCTGGAAGCTGTATAGGGAACAGGAAGCCTGAGCTCTAATCTTGGCTCTCCTGCCTAGGACTGATCATTCGAATCTCAGCTCCCTGAGGCCAGTGACCGTCGCAGTTTCATCATTTTAGCCTCTGAAGTTAAGCACAGAGCCAGACACGTATTAGGTGATGAATACTTATATACCGATGGCAGTTTTGTCAGGTTTAGAAGTGGAAAGGACCTTAAACGTGCTCTGATTGTCTCCCCTCCCTTTACATGTGAGGAGGCAGATGTCCAGGGGAGCCTTGGGTGCAGAGTTCAGTATCCCCTTCCTCGGGTTTTTCTGCCCCCTACCCAGGGTGTTTCCAGCTGAGTCACAGTGGCCTTGAAGGTTAGGTCTTTCCTTAAGCAGGCCAAATCAAAGGCCATATTTCAGCTTTTCAGATTTTTGGTGAAGCTCCATTTAATCCCAGTCAGGAATCTTTATGGTATCCTGGGTGTGTTCCCAGTGGAATGGAAGCTCCTGTAGGGCAGGGACTGTGTCAAGGTGTCTGTACGTTCCTGCTCCTAGTTCAGTGCCTCACACGTACCAAGTGCTTAATAAATGCTTGAATTGTTCTGAGACACTGGGACAGAGACTGTGACGTACAAGTGGGAGGCCCTGGAGATTTGGGGAAGTGGTGGAACTGAAGGCGCCCGTTGAAGCGCAAGCTTTGGTGAGGAGGAGAGCTTCCTGATTCCCTAAGAACGTGCAAGAGGAGGAATGAATGCACAGACTTTGAAGTTGTCATTAAGAAAACTTTCATCTGATGGCCTCACTCATCTGCATAGTAGATGGTATTCTGTTCTGCTTTTCAGTCGTTGCAGTCATCTCCAAACTCTCCGTGACTCCGCTTAAGGATTTCTTGGTGGAAATACTGGAGAGTTTGCCATTTGCTTTTCCAGCTCATTTCACAGATGAGGAAACTGAGGCAGACAGGGTGAAGTGACTTGCCCACAGTCACGCAGCTGCTGTCTGATGAGCCTTTCTGACTCCAAGCCCACGGCTCTATCCACTGCACCACCCGCCTGGCCACTGTTCCATTAGGAGAGAACTAAGATGATGACACACTGGGGATTTGAAGGTGAAGAGGTCTGGATCAGAAGCTGGTGGACCCACCATGCAGAATTTTGACCTTATTTTCTTTTCTCCCCTTCAGCCTGAGAAAGGCACTGTGCTGGGCTTTGACCTCCGGGGCTTTAAGTGTGGCCTCCCCTGCCTGTTATGTACCTCCTCTTCACCTTCCCCTCCTCGAATTCCAGCTCCTTTCAAGGCTTAAGTGCTACCACCACCCATAGAAATTATTTCCTTAACACCCTCCCCCAGTAAGTCAACGATTTTCCCAAAATTACTTTATGTTCTGTATGTGTTTCTTTCTGTGTGGTTCCCTTTACTCACCAGTATAGATTAAAGGCTCTCTGAGGGCATAGCCTGGTTTTGGCTGTGTATTCCCTATGCCTAACATATAGAAGGTATTCAGTAGTGCTCCTTGGATTGAATTGGTGTCCTCTTTCCACGTAGAATTTCAAATTAGAAGGTTAGGAGACAGAGTTTAAGACAAAAGATGTATTTGCAAAAGTAATTATTCAAAATCAGGGACTCATTCCAGGAGTGCTGGGGAATAGAAGAGGCCTTCAGAGTTGTTAGAAGCACTCTGGGAGGAAAAACATTCCTCTCAGAACAGAGAAGCCTCATTTGGCTTGGTTTAATTTTCCTCTTTGTGTATTACTCATAGAAGGTTCTCCTCTCTGAAGGGCTAATTCTTTCAATGCATCGGGTGACTCCTTAAGCTTTTCAGACTGATTTTTATGCTGGCCCATTTCTGGTGCTTGGGGATTTGAAAGCAGAAAAACAAAACAAAACAAAAATACTGATGGCTTATAAAAACCCACCCAAAATACCAGAACCCTCTTCTATGTCCTCCTTCTATTCCATTTCTCCTTGGAATCATCTCTTATAAACACGGAGTAAGACTTTCCTTTCTCTATTGCCAGGGTTGACCTTTCATCACAGGAAGGACCCAGGCCCACCCTCATCACTTTGATAGCACTTAGGTATATGTAGACAATGCCCCGGTTTTTCATTCATTGGAAGCTGGGCCAACAACAGAAAATGTGACCCAATTTTTTCAGGGCAGGAGTCTCCATATCCTTTAGCTTTTGGTTTATGATTTTTTCACCTAGTCCCTAAATCTGGGTATTGCTGTGAATGACATCAAACTGAAATGGTTAAAATATATTTTTCTATGCTGTGTGGCTTGGTGTCTTTAGAGTATAATGCTGGAGGAACTTGAGTGTTCTATCCATGAACTTGGTTAAGAGGAAAGGTAGGGAGAGAAGGACATTAGTGAATACTCTCAATGACCTTGAGTTGGAAGAACCTAAGGAAGAAATCTAAGGATTCTCTCCTTGACCTGGAGAAAGCTGGAATTGGAAAAGCTTCTCTCTTTGAACTGGAGAAAAGTGAGACCTCAGAAGAATTCTCTTGGTGAATTTGGGCCAGAAGGTGGTAGAACTTCATATTACATTCTTTCAGTGATTTTGGAACAAAGAAACAGGGAATACATGTGCATCATCTTGTTGAAATTGACCTGAAGAAAGGTGACTTAGAATGGATTCTGTGGGTGAATTTCTGTTGTAGGAAGGGGGAACTTTTGTAAATTCTCCAAGTGAATTTAATTTGTAGAAAGAGACTTTCTCTGGATTCTTCCTCTAATTTGGGGCAGGGGGAGGAGGAAAAAAGAAAGGAGAAAGAGGAGAATGAGACAGGGGAAGTATAAAAGGGAAGGGCAGAAGGGCTACAGGGCTTTAGTAAGTATAATCCCCAATTAAGGAGACAGAGAACTCCTTCTCATTTTGGCCAGCAGGGTTTGCCTGAATCTGGAACTGGAACTTTCTTTCATCTTCATGATGTTCAAGGTCCTTGCTTTCAGAAGGCAGGAAAAATACAACCTATAAAGCCAGCCAGAAACAAGACCCATTAAACTCACCCCAGTCCCTTTCCTGCATGTCTCATCTTCCTCCCACTGAACCTCAGATGCTTCCTACATCTTTCCAGTGACTGCCTTCCCTCCCTGCTCCTCAGTTGCCTCAGCAGAAAGATGATGGGGTGTAGGGTTAGAGGACCTGTGTGTTGATTCTAGTGATCTACTTAACTATTGGTGTGGTGTTGGCCAAGACCCCTCACCATTCTGGGCCTTCCCTGCATTACCTGTGCCATGAGAGGACAGAGTGGGAGTTGATGGCCTCAAGGGCCCCTTTGACTCTAAATCTGTGATCTGGTGATTCTCCATTCTCTGTTTCTCTTCTCAAGCTGTTATCACTAGCCACCTTTCTCATTTCTGACATTTCACTGTCTTTCTTATTGGGTTAAACAGAAAGGTTCTTGCCCAGAACTGAGCTAAGGTGCTGAGAAGAATGGAAATTGGAGACTTAGCTCGTACCCTCAAAAAGCTTATACTCTGGTTGGTCATCTGTAAGAAAAAGCTGGATATCATATGGCCATGTCTGTCTAATGCAGGTTCAGATTAATATCAGAGAATCACAGAATTGGAAGTGTCATCAGAAGACATCTAACCCAACTTGTACCTGACTCTCTTCGGTGTAACCAATAGGCAGCTAGGTGGCACAGTGTTTAGAACACTGGACCTGGATTCAGGAAGACCTGAGTCTCTATCTGGCCTCAGACACTTTCTAGCTACCTGGGCAAGTCCTTAGCACTTGAGTGCCTCAGTTTTCTCAACTGCAAAATGAGAATAATAATAGCACCTACCTCCCAGGGTTGTTTTGAGAATCGAATGAGACAATATTTATAGAGTACTTAGAACAGTGCCTGGCCCGTCATAGGCACTATATAAATGTTAGCTATTTGTTATTATTATTAGCAATTCCTAAAGCTAGTCATCACCTATGATAGTCACAACCACACAACTTGGAGCTTCTCTTTCTCCCACCTCTTTGGCGTTTCTCCATATCACATTTCTTTTAAAGGCTAAGACTGTCACCGTGATGCACAGTTCAGCAATAGTGAGGAAAAGTATCAGAGCCAGCACTCCCTATGAAACAAGACAAAGAACAAAGGGCAATTAGTAGTCAAGAAGGAGGAGGGCTTCCTCAGAGTTGCCAGACAAAGTCGTGTCTAAAATAAAGCAGACATCAATTAGAGAACATGTGGGGTGACACCGTACTGTCTGGACCCCTTTTAGCTCTCTTCTTGTATTACCTGTAACATAGCATTAAGACATTCCCCACAGTTTAAGTGTTCAGATCTTACTTCCAAATAGCTGTAAGATACCTTGGCAGCTTTGGCTACTGGAGGAAGAGGGAGGCTTCTTTGCCCCGAGGGCACACCATAGCTTGGGCACTTTCTGTGTACCCCTCCCCCACCCTCCACTGTTCCTTGGCCTTTGGAATACCCTGCATGTCCTGGTACTGGGCTCCCTGCCAACCTAGGTTTGGAAAAGGGATGAGATGGATGGTAGCAGTGCTGTGTTCTGACTCAGAAGCCTGTCTTTAGGTTGTGGTGGGTTTTCATGAAGGTAGCACATCAAATCAAGTTGAAGGGGCTCCTGGTGTAGCTAGGGAAGAGTTAGTAGACTACAGCCACCTGAACTTGGAGCATCTGTCAGTAAGAGACTCGTATAAGAATCACAAACCCAGTAACAATCACCATGATTTCTTCCTGTGCAGTGGAAAGTGTTTCTGATCAGAGAATGTGGGTTCAAATCCCTCCTCCAGCACTAATTTCTGGGTGACCTTAGCCAAGCCCCTGAAGTTCGATGGCCCTCAGCTTCCTCACTGTAAAATGAGGGGGAAGGTGGCTGAGAGAGTGTCTGAGGTCCTTCTAGTTCTGTAACTCTCATTCTGTCAGCCAAAGCTCTATTCACTGGAGCATGTCTGCACTTTGCAGTGGTGCAGATAAGACTTGTCCCTCAAAGTCTCTCCTGGGATTTTTTTTTTTTCTGACACATATCAGAATGAAGATGGGTGATTCCTGAATGCATTGGCCCTGTGGGGGCCAATGCATTCCCTCACTGTGGGGACTTCTCTGAATCTCAGTTTCCTCATTGTGAAAAGGGGATAATAATAGTTCCTGCCTTATAGGGCTGTTGTTAGCATCAAATGAGATAGTACCTAGCAAGTTTCTGGAAAATCTAAAAGCCATAATACTATACATTTGGCTAATATTTCCAAGAGTGTCCAGATCAGACCTCTGGGGTACATCTAGTCTTGCACCAAAGCATTTATTGAGGAAGGTTCTTCCAGCCTCTGATGTTACACAAAAAGGTTATGGGGCATGACCCAAACTCTCCTTGCCTTTACTGACTCACTGGCTCTGGCATCCATTACTTTATCAAAATAGCTTCCAGTCTATTTTTTTTTTCACCTGGAATGTGTTTTGCAAGCTTGCTATTTACTCTGTGCAAGCTTACTTTTCTTAGGATTTAATGGTTCCCTCCAAATCCTAGTATTTATTTCAATATTTGGGGAAATTCTATTTTTGTCTCATCTGGATCATTCAAGAATTCATAAATTTTTGATCATAGATTCAGGTTTTATTAGTGATCCCTTTTCAATTTTTACTCTCTCAAACGTGTACTCCTATCTATTGTTATTGGTATACCTTACCCTTTTTCTCGGTCTAGCAATCAATCATTGTGCTGGGCTCTTTGCCAGGGGTACATGAAGACAACAAAGACACAATACCTCCCATAAAAGACTTTGCATTTATCAGAAAAGACACCATGTATGTATATTAACATATCCTCCATTTATACAAAATAAATGCAAGTGAAATGGTGGGGGAGGCCAGTGGCTTTCATCCATTTATTCTGATTCTGCCTCATGCAGTGCTGTGTTCCTTTCAAATATTAGAGGATAGTGATAATGGATGGCCTACCTCTTCTCGATGGTCCCCATCTCTATGGTTTGCTGTTCCTCACACATGATGCTCTATCTCCCACCACCATATTTTTGTCCTGGCTGTGCCCCATGCCTGTGAGTGCAGGAGTGTACAAAGTCTAGACTTAGTGTCAGAAGACCTGGCTATGGGACTTGATCTTTGTGACCTTGGGTGAGCTACTCCTAACCTCTCAACAGCACTGGCTGCTTGAGAGACCCTTCCAACTCTATGTCTTAGGCCCCCCAGCCAATGGTAACTTATGTTTTAATTCTCTTTTGGTGTCCAAGTCTGTTAGAGATATTTTGGTTGAGATTATATTGGCAAGTGGTTTTACATATTGGTAATCCACTTCTTCCTCATTTTCTGCCATGGAATTGCTGGGCTACCCACTACATAAGGCTTTCCTGATCATCCCTCCACCTCCAAATATAGTTATGAGTATTCTCTCCCATTTTTTTGGTACTAAGTTACTTGTCTGCTTGTCCTTTTCCTCCAAGAGAATGAAAAACTCTTTCAGGCAGGAATTGTGTCATTTTTTTTTGTTTATATCCCCACCCTGGACTATAGAGAGGGATAAGGATAGGGACATGGCCTGTGATTTCATTGGTATAGAGAATTCTCGGGGGTAGGAACTTCCTCTTCCAAGGCACGTCAGCACCGTCTGTGCCATGTTGAGTCTTGACAGTTGCCTGGAGCACTGACAAGGAAGGTGATTTGCCTAGAGTCACATGACCAAGTGTGTGCAGAGGCAAAATTGGAACCCAGATCTTCCTGGCTTCAGGTCAGCTATCTATTACACCACACTCTACCTTGTGGTCTTCAAATGACTGTTGAAATGAATTGAAATCAGAAGGAAATGGGGTCTGAGTGAATGAGGCCTAACTATTCCATGTAATTGGTCTAGCATGGTGGGATTTTGACATATAGAACAGAACCACTTACTAGAAAGAGTGTTCTCCCAATAGCACATATGCCAGACTTGGTGGGAGTCCGGCAATGGAAATAGTTGTCTTCATGGAAGCTGTAAAGAATGATAGCAATCCCTGCTGCAGCCACTAGGGTGGTCACCACGCCCAAGTATAGACTGAAGTGCATCTGTAAGAGAAGGAGCACTCAGGATGGGACGCTTAGCACCGCGCCCCCCCCCCCCCCAGCAGGACAATGTCCATCTGGACAAGATCCCCGGGTGGCTGGATCCTGATCTGGCAGAGGGAGGAAGAAGCCCACAGACTAAGTGAGACAGATGGAGGGGTGTGTGGGAGGGCGGGGTCAGGGTAAGGACCCAAAATGAGGGGTGCTCGACTCCCATGTTAATTCCAGTGTGGAAAGGGACAGACCCCCCTGCAGGGCCTACGCTTCTCCCTTAGAAGAATTCAGCATTGGACTCTGAAAACAGGTTTGAAGTCAGGGGCATGCTGGAGCCAGCTCAGACTGGTTACTGAGAGTTGATTGTTAAATGTTCAGTGTGAGCGTTTATTCACAGCTCAGAAATCAGCAAATGATACAAATCAGGGCTCGATTTGCTCTTTTGTTGATTGTCTTCTAACGCGGTGGATAAAGTGTTAATGAAGGTGTTCATCCTGTCCCACTCTCTGTGACCCCGTTTGGGGTTTTCTTGGCAGAGATACTGGAGTGGTTTGTCATTTCCTTCTCCAGCTCGTTTTACAGATGAGGAAACTGAGGCAAGCAGGGTTAAGGGACTTGCTTAGGGTCATATAGCTGGTAAGTGTCTGAAGCTAGATTAGAACTCACAAGGATGACTCTCAGACTTCAGGAAGTCACTTAAAAGTGTGTCCATTTTTTTTCCACCCAGAGAGCTGGTTGTTAAGCAGCTAAATGGTTCTGACATAAACTATTTGCCTTCAGTCAGAGGTCCTGAAGAAGAGATCAAGGCACAGTTTGGTTGAAGAATCTTAGATTTAGCCTGGAAGATGGACGACTGGGGCCTGGGGGAGGGAGGATAGGCCATGATGGCTGCCTTTGAGTTTTTGTAGGGCAAGACGCAGAGTCTGAGAGTCCCAAGACTGGAAGGGCCTTCAGAAGCCATTTAGCCTGCACCTGAATGCTTCTCTCCCACATACCCGAAGAGTGGTCATCCAACTTCGGCTTAAAGATTTACGTTAAGGAAGAATTGACTTCTACTTATGGATAGCACCCGTTATTAAGATGTTTTTCTTTTTGTGGCAGCAAGCCTAAATCTGCCACGCATTACTACTACCTCTGCACTCTGGGCCAACAGAAAAAAAGAAAGTCTCTTTTCCATTTGATTGCCTTCCAGATAGAGACAACTTGAGACAACTCTGGTGTGTCTCTGGCATCTTTTCTTTTTCGATCTGAGCAGCCCCAGTTCCTTCAGCCCGTCCTCATGGGAGATCATCTCAAGTGCTTTTACCTCAGTCATGAGTCAGCAGATGTGGCTTTGAAACCAAACTCAGCTGTAGGACGTGGGGATGATCTTTGCTAAACCCCTTACTCTCTCCTAGCCTCATGCTCCTTATCTGTAAACTGAGGGAGTTCTGCCAGATGATCTCTGAGTTCCCCTTGGGCTTTTTTCATAATAGAAGCCAGGCAAAGACCCCAAAGAAATGAGCTCAAGGAGGAAGGGATGGTAGAAGAGAAGCTTAAGACTTGAGGAGAAGAAGAGAGAGGGGCAGCAGAAGGATCTGGGCTTGAGGAGAAAAGAGTTGTTTCAACATGTCAATAAAGTGTGGCCAAAACTACCCAATCCTAATAAATGGCAGAAGTTAGTGAGAGGAACCATTTGAGTGTGGCACTCAAAGGTGGGAAGGGGTGCTGCAGAGAGGAAAGACTCTTGTCTTCTTGCAGTTCCATAGGCAGTTCTGTAGGGGAACGCTAGCAAACAGACTGAGGGTCTCATCTGTAGTCGACGTGAAAGCAATGAAGACTTTGCCATAGCCCACTTTGGATGTCATGTTTGTAAGTCCTCCATGGCTGAGTACTTGCCTTCTGCACTCAAAAGTTCAGGCTGATCCCTCTCCTTGAAGAAGTGAAGGGTCTAGAGCAACTGTTTTCCATTTTCTAGGGTATCAGAGACAATTATGTGTTTCTAAAACAAACAAACAAAACCGAGCAAAGCAAGCCAAAGCAAACACAAAAAACCCAGAAGAGCATTAGGGTGAGAAAACAAGCAAACTGAAAACGGTTCCCTGAATTCAAGGTCAGTCTCAACGTATAAAAGGAAGTTGGTGGGTGGAAAAATGCCATAGGCATGAGGAAGGACACCTAGAGGTAAAACCAAAATAAACCAAATACCTTGGAACTTCTTCCCAAAGGGGAGCTCTGACACAAGAGCCAGGTCTGCTGACTCAAGCCTAATGTAAAAGGACTTGAGATGATCTCCCGTAAGGACCGAGTGAAGGAACGGAGGCTGTTTAGATTGGAAAAGAGCAGCCATCTGTCCTTCTAGGAATGATAAATTAGTCCCCTAGGTACTATCAGCTGAGAGACAATCCCAGAAGGATCGGAAGAGAAAGACATGAGCAGGAGCCTTAGTGAGTCCAGTTTGGGAATATTGATAGAGCTCCCTGCCTGTTACCTAGTTAACCACAACAGAGTTCTGTTGCCTTTCCTGCTCACATGTCCAATGCATGGCAGGAAGGAATTCAACTGAGAATTGTTAAAATAGATAACTCCTGCCTGCTTTTGATCTATGTGGGCACAATTGATGCTCAGAGGAATGAATGCCAAAGATTAGGAAATTTTGAGCAAGAAATAGGAGACCTTTGAGGGCACAGGTTTTGTTTTAATCACTGTTACCCATCAAAAGCCAGAAATAAGAGAAAATAATATTGGGGGGATGTAAATATAGGGATCAAAGAGATCTGAGAATCAGATTCAGATCTCTGTACTCTCCCTTAAAATGGAGGAAGGTCAGACTCCTGGCTGAAGACAGAGTATACCTAGCATCGGCTGTAACAGATTTATTTGCCTCGATTCTTGCAAATCTAATAAAAAGGTGTTTTAACTAAAAAGAAAGGGGAGAAATGGCTAACGTATACCCACCGGGGCCTCATAGCTATTAAGCATCTAAGGCCAGATTTGAACTCCTGAAGGTGAGTCTTCCTGACTCCAGGCCTGGCATTCTATTTATTGTGCGAATACCTGCCCCAGGCAGGATCTAAAGCAGGGTCCCAATGCAAGCCTTCCTGACTCCAGGGCCAGCACTTTGAAATATAGTACAGCCAAGGTGCCCAGGAGTTTATTGGAGACAAAATTCAAGAAGAGAAACAGGAATGAAAGCTTTGTTATGTCTTTGATGTTTATTCTCAATGCAGATAATGTAGATAATAAACACAGTTCTGATGCCAGGAGGTAAATTTGACCAAATAGTATTTCTGAGTCTTGATTAGACTCATCATTGAACTGTGCCCATAGAATTAATACCTTATTTAAAAGAGATAGAATGGTGGTTGTTGGCATCTTGGTCCTCTTCAAGAACAGATGACATCACTGTGTTAGAATCAAGTTACAGTGTGTCCAGCTATGGCTGATCAGACCAACATGAGCTCAGAAGGCTCTGCGGTAGGTTGGGCACAAATAGTCCAGGTAAGCATTTGGGGTGGATTCTCTAAATTTGCGCATCTCGTGTTTCTTTTGAGCTACTTCCATTCTTCTTTGCTAATGAAGCCCTCTTTGATGAGGGCATGCCATGCGGGGCAATCCTTTGCCAGCCTGTGGTCTGTGCAGCTGTGGAGGGTGGGGAAGAAGCCATGAGCTAGGAAAGCTCAGACTAGTGACAAGGGATAAAAAAGAAAAACTGAAGAACTAAAGAGCAGGAAAGAAAACCTGAATTAAAACAACAGCAACAAACCCTGGCTCAGAATCCCTAAACCAGCATAGGGGGTCATAAAATCGGAAGGAAGAATGAGTGTAATCTTAAAAACAAACCAAAACATTTTGAATCAGAAATGTGACTAAGAAATATGACCTGATAAGAAGTGAGATTCCCCAGAGATTATGGAACAATAGCAAGAAATTCCAGAATGATTCGAAAGAGAAATAAAACTATGCTTAGAGAAGAAACTAGGAATGTCTTTAGGTCACCAGTCAGACTTGTCAATGCAAAATTAAAAGGTCTGGTGGTGAGAATGGCAAAACTTAAAAGGAAATGAGACTGGCGACAAAATGGAGGATGGCAAAGAGAGGTTTTGTTTTGTTTTTAAAATCTGTATTGGAATGTTGTAGATATGCTTTAATTTGACTTTAGAAAAGCGTTTGAGAAAGTCATACTGTCCTTGTTTAAAAAGGTGGACAGATACGGTCTAGGTGATGCTGTAATTAACTGGATTCAGAACTGGTGGGATGGCTAAAGCTAGAATCATCATTATTTATTTGATGTCAACTTGGAAGTTGATCTCCTTTGGAGAATCTCAGAGATTTAGGCTTTGCTCTGTGTATAATGTGTTTATTAATAACTTGGATGAAAACATGGATATGTATTTTGGAAATGACACAAAGCTAGAATGGATAGCTGACACATCAGATGGCCGAGCCAGGATTAAATAGGATATTTAAAGACTAGAACATTGTCCTGAATAGATTATGATGATATGTAAGGATAGGGTCTGGACTTCTGATTCCATTGATAAAGCAAACTCCCACATGAGGTGACCCCCCTCTACCAATGCAGGCTGGAACCTCCTCTGCAAGATCAGTGAGGTAAGTGACTTGCCCAAGGTCATACTTCCAGTTTGCCTCAAAGGTGGGGCTTGAACCCAAGATTTAAGGCCAGTTCTCTATCCACTACTCCATGCTTGTCTTTTTCAAGGTCAACCACAAAGACTTACACAGAGATCCAAAGAATTAACATGACAGTTACAAGATGGGATGACTGAAAACCAAATTCTGTGAAGAAGCTCTAAGGGTTTTAGTGGCGTGTAATCCCAATATAAATCAACACTGGGGCTTGGCAGCCGAGAGAGCCACAGCAGACTACATTGGCTCCCTCTGCTCTGTCCCGGTTGGACCCCATCTGCAAGCTGTTCAGTGAGATGAGGCCGTTTAGGGAGGCCGTTGGGAGCACAGCCCCAGTGGCGAAGGTCCTCCTTTCATGCCACAGGAGAAGTGTTGGAAGGAAGTCTGAATGTCGAGCCTCCAGAGGCTCACGGTGAGGGTGTTCAGGTCTGTGGCTGGAAGTGGGCTCGTGGGCAAGTGCCCAGTCCCAGAGAACAGAACTGGGATAACAGGGAAATGAGGGGTCGGGGTCCAGGGGAACAGAAGGAGATGAGTTCTGATGTCAGGGAAAACGTCCTAAGAATTAGAAATATCCCGATTCCTTCTCACTGGAGACGTGCAAGCAGAGACTAGATGACCATTTCCTTGGCCATTTGTTCCCTCAGCTCTAATACTGTGAGGGCTGGATGGTAGCGTAGCCAGGTGGCTCAATGGATGGAGCACTGGACCTGTGGTCGGGAAGACCTGAGTTCAAATCCAGCCTCAGACACTTAGTGGCTATGTGACCCTGGGCAAGTCACTGAACTGCTCTGTTTCTAAGTTGCTTCAACTGTAAAATGTAACCCCGTGCTGTTGTGAGAATCAAATGAGATATTTGCAAAGCACTTTGCAAACCTTACGTAAATACTAGCTCTTATTATTGTTAATCATTATGATTATATGGGTATTGGTGACTTCTTCATTGTTGGGAGTCTATGAGTCAGGGACTATGGACCACTTCTCCTTTTGAGAACTTTTCATGGGAATTTTGGTTTTTAAGGCTCACCATGGCAGTTATTTGGAGATTGATGTTTTAACTTATTTTTTTTTAAACCCAAACATGTGGGAGTTATAGAATAATGTAGGGGGTTGATGCATTAACAAATAGAATGGTTTCCATGTGGACAGGCCATAGAAAATCACTACGGGTCTGGTGATTTCTGAAAGCTTTTAATCAGGAGCTATTCAACTGCATGGAAATTTTGAAATGTCAAGAGGATGTTCTTACCCAGCGAGGATATTTTACTTCATTAAGAATTGTGAAGTATCCTGTAATAACGTACTGTTGAGAGAATACATTGGTTAGTGAACCCTAAGTAGACCTCAAAAGTGACCCATGTATATCTTCATATGCTTAAGGAAGATTTGTTGACTGACTGACATCCCCTCCGCAACCAGTCACCATAGCTTCAGGATGGAGTCAAGGATCCCCGGGGGGATGATAAACACCATGGTGGAATATAAGTGGGCTCTGGGTCAGCTGTATGCTCAGCACCCATCAGAGCTTTTTACAGGGTACTGGGTCTAGATCTCCAGGGACCTCCAAGATCACCCAACCCAGCCCCTCATTTTACAGATGAGAAAATGGATGCCCAGGGAAGTTTGATAACCGGGGGAAGTCTTGCCATTGGAGTGTTGGCGACAGTGGCTTATGAAACAAAGGCTTCTTTGTGGAGCTGTCCAATCTCAACTCTGATCTGAGAGGCAGCTAGGTGGCAGGAACCATTCTACCGTTCCTCTCTTCCCCTTTCGCCATCTTTAGCAGTTACGCCTTTGTAAGGCTAGGTTCTTCAGAGTGACAGGAGTCCAGTCTCATTAAAATGTAATTTGTGCAATGGAGATGGAAACAAACCGGTACCTCCCAGGGAGATTGTTAGCCTTTTTCATAGAAGCCCACAGCTTGGGGTTCCCTTCATCACAGGAGAAGAGAAGCTGGGCCCACCCTCTCTAGCAACCAAGTGTCTGTCTTGAACCACAGAAGATTATGGTTTCAGAGAGACTGATGTCATGCTGACAGGTGAGTGCCTAGAGCGTGGCAAGGGGGCACCAAGCACCAGGGGCATGCGATGGAATGGAGGCAGATTCTGCTGCGCTCTGGCCCATGGATGCCATGGGATATGCCTTTTATCCCTGGTCCTCTACAAGCCCAGCCTCTCACCCGTATTCTGTGTTCAGACTCATGGAAACTGCCAGGAGTTTCAGAATAAATCCTCCATCTTGCTTCTACATTGTTTACTATACTCACACATGCTCCTGCCCAGAATGGATACCCCGTGAGAAAGATAATAGGCTGGTTATTTTGAAGATGAAGTCTGTTGACACTGTGCCATAAAATGTACCCCATGGCAGTGATAATAAGACCCAGGAAAATCTGGAAAACCTGTGTAAAGAGAAATGGGTCAAGATGAGGAGGTTAGTTTAAAAATGGGCTGCTTTTGAAGAAATTCAGCCTAAACTTTCTTTGGGAGTTCAGGAAGGGCTCCCCTGGCCCAGGTGAGGGGAGGATGCTGAATGCTCTATGTGAGCCCCTCAAGGTGATTTTCTCTTCCCCATATAGTAGCCTGTTTGATTGTGAGCTTCTGGAAGGCAGGGACTGACTTTTGCTTCTTTTTGTATCCTCAGCATCTAGGCACAGTGTCTGGCACATAGTAGGGGCTTAATGTTTACTGACTGACTGATAGGTCTTCACTTGGCTAGAGATGAGAAAGACCCAGCAGCCTGACTTCAGAAGGATAAGCCTTCTCAAATAGAGAGGTGAGGCCTACCTCGAGATGACGATCTCTCTGCCCCTGGCTGGTCACTGTCTGTGCCCTGTGGCCAGCTCTGTGCCCTACCTCCACCCCCCCTTTACTTTCAGGCTTTGTCTCAGCTCATCCTTTGGGTGATATCGTCATGGCAGAATTATGTTCTGCCCATGTCAGGCAAGGATGGATTGGGGAAGACTTGAGTGAATGTCTGCATTGGTCCTAACTGTGACTCAGTGCTGCATCTGTGAAGGGTCTTTTGAGGTCAGTGGGCAGTAGTTTGAGGGGGAGGAGAAGGAGGAAACAAATGATACATCATGATATGATTATTTTCATCCATTCGATTACAAGTACCTATTGTGGGAAGAGCAGTACTGGGGAGAGGGGTTACAAAGTGGAGGTAGAGAAGGTCCTTACAGTTAAGTGAGGGTTTCAGATTCCAATCCAAGGAACTACCAGACCCTGTCAAGTACATTAGAAGGATTCCAAACTAAATCTTTTAGGTAGCATCTCTGAAGAGAAAGGCATTAATGACAAAGAGGACAGGGAAATTTTCATGTCTTATCAATGCAGGGTTTTAATTCCATTAAATTATTCCGTCCATTATATTTGAACATTTATGTTTTTAATGAGTCACGTCACATGCATCAAGTACTGATGGGGCTTTGGGGAGCCATTGCCCATACCTGGCTTTTACCTCTTGCTTATTCAAACAGACATTTATTGAATGCTGCTTTGGGCAAGGCAACATGAATTACCCAAGGTCATCAGTTGCTGGCTCTTGGCAGCCCATTCTAGTTAGCATTTCTCGTTTTTCCTCTCAAGGCTACACTCCTGACTCTCTAGACCTCACTCCTGGACTTCCCACATTGGAAGGACCCTCCATTCCTGTGGCTTCTCCCTCTGATTGGCTGGTTCCTCCCAGAACCTCCATTTTAAGGAGGACACCCCCAGACCAATTGCATCTTTATTCCTCTCTAGACTGTACTCATGACTCTCTGGACTTTGTTTACCAAGTCCCCTGTGCCCACCCCTTCTCAGTTTCCTCCTTTGTGTTGTTTTCTCCCTTTGGAATGTAAGCTTCTTGAGGGTAGGCAGACCTGTCTTTCTTACAAATACTGTTGGAGGAGGTAGGGAAGAAAAAAAGGAAAAAAAGAAACTTACATGATAATTTTGTTGTATATTTGAAAGGAATAGCAAGTTGTGCATAGTACATTTGCAATTTCATTGCAATCGTCTTTTTTTATTATAGTCATAGAAATGCTTGCTTTGTTCCATAAATTAAAAATAAAATAAATTTAAAAAAGAAATATAGTTATCCAGCTATTAAAAAACAAAAACAAATACTGCTTGTATTTATATTACCAGCACTTAGCACAGGAACTGGCACAAAGAGCTTTGAATTTTTAAAAATTCAATTATGTTTTTCTTTTTTTCCTTTTTCTTCAATGCACTTTGATAGTTATTCTCAAGAACGGGAATCATCCCAATAAGCATTTCCAGGTCACAAGACTACTTTTTGTCTATAAACTGTCACCTGCTTTATCCTGGTAAAAGTGTGGATCTAGAAAGCAGGTCAACCTTGGCATCATCTGCCTGTAATTAGAGCAGAGTGACTCAGGAGCAGTTAAGCCAGGAGGCTTTTCAAATATGGCATCCTATCTCTCACTTTCCCAGTTCTCTGACCAGCAGTTGAAAGATTGTTGTTGAGTCATTTTTCAGTAGTGTCTGACTCTTCCTGACCTCATTTGGGATTTTCTTAACAAAGATACTGGAGTGGTTTCCCATTTCCATCTCCAGCTCGTTTTACCGATAAAGAAACTGAGGCAAACAGTTAAATGACTTGTCCAGGGTCACACAGCTAGTAAGTATCTGAGGCCAGGCACTCTATCCACTACTGCATTTACACAGAAATAAGTCAAGAAAGAAAGAAATAAAATATAATCTCCTTCTATCTGTGTCCCCAGCACCAAACACAGGTCTTGCTACATAGTAAGTGCTTAGCAAATGCTTGTTAAATGAATGTACAAGTGAAATGGCCCAGGCAGAGAGAAATGATTTCTCCCCCTGACCCTCACTTTGGAGGCAATCTGACTTACCCCCATCATCTTCGGCTCCCCCTTCAGGAAGTTCAGTAGGGTCTTAGAAGGCTTGTAGGGAAATGCAGTAATGACTATCTGTTCTGTTTGGAGAGGATCCCTGGGAAGTTCCTGGGTCTCCACTACCCTAGACTTTGGTGGCATGGTAAGGAAATGGATTATTTGATAGGAATATGCTAAATGAACAGGCTGGCCAACATCACAGCCAAGATCATGCTCTGCTCCTCTGCCCAGGTCACCTGGGTAGCTTGACTGCTCCTGGACTAGGTATTAGAATCATAGAGTCACAGGGCCATGGAGTCATAGTTCTGGAACTCCAGTGTCATAGAATCATGGAGCTGCTAGGAACCTTGAGAGCTTTCATCTGGCTCCCCGTGTCCAAGCAGGTGAGGAACTTGGACATCCAGGAACCTTGTCTTTGGGGTTAAGGACTTCTCCACTCTCCTGAGTCTGTAGTCTCATGGTTAAGAAGCATGTGAAGTATATCTCTCTTTTTCACTTTAAGCCAACCTCTCTTCTCTGTTATTTTGTAGACATGGAAAATATTACTTTCATATCACACTCATAAACCCCTCTAGATACTGTATTTGGTGCCGCCTTAATTTTCTCTTCTAGGCAAAGAAACTTCATTTATCTTAAATTTACATTAGAAGGCTTGTTTTCCATTCTTTTCATTATCTTGTCTCTTCCTTTTTTTCAAAATTGTCTTTTTCAAATAGAAAAAATCCACCTTTCTCCCCTACTGCCCAGTGGCAATGAAATAAAAACAAAACCCCTGTTACAAACAGGAAAGTCATGCAAAATAAATTTCTACAATGGCCATATCTAAAAGAAATAGATTATATACATATACATATACATATATATATATATACATATATATATATATATTACATATATGGACATACATACCCATTGTCAGTTCTGATATAGTGTTTGTTTTGAAAACATGTACTTGTTCCAACATGATTGATATGTTAGAGAACAATTAGTGCACAACTAGAATTTGTTTTGCTAATACTCAGTTTCCTCCATGAGAAACAATGACAACAAAACTATACCTCTTCACAGTAAAACTACACAAAATGATACCACTTTCCTCTTAAGCTGCAATTCTTAAGGCACCCACTTCCACAAGCAAACTTCTGGTCTTTTCCAAGACAAAGCACCGTATTTATTATAAATCTGGTTTGGTAGGAACTGTGGGTGGAGGAGAGCTGGTTCACATCCGCATAGTCTCCTGTCCACCCACTTCAGCCTTGGTCTTGGCCTGGACTCTGTTTCCCTGCCCTTCAGCTCATGTAGGTCTCTTGCCCACTTTGCTAGCTCTGCCCCGTGGGAACTGGGACACAGGCTGGAGTCAGCCCCTTTGAGCCAGCCAGAAAGCTCTGTTAGTTCAGAATGACAGACCTGTAGACTTTTGGTCCGGGAATCCTGCTCCAGCCATTCTTCTGCAGGCTTCAGGTTGGGCTAGAAGCTGCAGTCAAGACCTGCTGTGCTCCTGGGCTCAGAGCCACACAACTGTGGCTTGCTTCTGAACTTTTTTCTTTCTTGGTCACAGGCCAGAGCCGGCCACTGCTCCTCAGCCCTGAGCACAGGTCCCTTCCTCAATCTACCCTGGATCTGTAGCCCAGAACTGGGTAATGGGTGACAAAGCTGCCATCTGGCACCTGTGTGTGAAGTTGTGCCCTACTATGGGTCTGGAACCTCATCATGCCCTTGGTACAGTCCCTGGGTGCTGGAATGCTCCACAGGGCATGCTCCTGACCAGACTTCCCCCCCTAGGACTTGCAGACCTCTCTATCTCCTTATGCCAACCTTGGCTGGAAAAACGGCAGTGGTTTTTGTCTTGGATTTTCCAAATAGGATTAGACCTAATGCATTTTATAGGAATGTTTGGGGACTTTTTGAGGGGGGGCAACTATACTACTTCTTGGCTCTGCCCCCAGTGTCCATCCTCTTTGACTCTGGTTCTTTCTCTTAACCATCTGGTTTCTCCAGATATCTTAAAAAGCATAACTCATACAGCTTACAGTATACCAGCAGGGTTCTAATTGGTATGTTAAAGAGATCAATGACTCAGGAGCAGATGCCCTGGGTAGCCTTCATCTGTTCCATGGTGGAGAGGGGTGGAGATAGTAGGGCTTACCTTTTTGAGAACTTCACAAGCAAAAGCTCTGTGGTTACCTGTCAGGTGTGTTGTAAAAGTGATTCCTTTTCAGTGACAGGGTAAACTAAAAGGCCAAAAAGGTCCCTTTCAACCTATTTTGTGGCATTTGCTGCCTGTTTGACCTTGGATCTTGAACCATTCCAGACCTGTAAAATGAGGGGGGTTGGACTGAACGATGTCTGGGGTCCTTCACAAAAGATTCTGAAAGAGGAAGCCCCCTTCGCACTGCACTGATGGTATTGTTTAACTGTGGGTCAACTTAGGCTCCTTTTCTGTTAATCCATCTCTTTAGTCTTTTCCCATTCAAGTTTTGTGCTGATGCTCTTTTTACTCCAAGATTTATCATCTGAAATTTCTCTGAGCTGAATATATCTTGTAATTCCGTCAGACTTTAAACACAGCAGCAATGCAGACTCTCTGACTCCTTGGGGAGCAAGAGACAAAAAAATGGAGAAGCAGAATATTAGGGAAGCAGGTGGACCGTAACCTTCCCCTTTGCTAATCAGAAGGATTTTCTGTGCTATGAGAATGATAGACTGTGGCATGTCAAGAATGGAGAGAGACCTTAGGGTCCTCCTGGAGGGACAACATAGTATGAAAGGAACACCAGACCTGCAGTCAAAAAGTCTGGCTTTAAGCCATTGCTCTCTTACTTATTAGTTGCCTAACTCTGACTGAACAAAAATCTCTCTGAACCTCAAGTTCTTTGGCATTCAGGGTAAACAGGAAGAAATGTGGTCTCAGGTAACTTTTCCAAGACAAATTCAGTTGAACCAAGGATTGTGGGGGGAGGACCCCACAAGGCCCCTGCTGAGAAAACTGCTGCTTAGGAAGGAAGTGAGCAGGGAAGAATGAGGCATGAAAGTTCACCTGGGGTGGGTCATTGAGGAGAGGAAGCTGCCTCCAGCAGTCTGACGTAATTTTTTAAAGGGCCTGGCTTCAAGCACCACTCTTGACTCTTACTGGCTATGTGATCATGGGCAAGATATTCAACCTCTCGAAACCTGAGGTTCCCCATCTATAAAATGAGGATGATACTTTCAATGGTAATTAAATCTTGCTAACTGCTAAGCTCAGTTATTTTTAAATTTGTCAAGGAGTGTGAGAGCACCCAGTGTCCTGTAAATTTTGGTGACATGAGATAAAGCCCAAGTTTCTGAGTCCTCATTGTTTCTCTGAGTTTCTTCTTCTCTACAGGGAGTCTGATTATGTTTTTAGTGCTTTTTCCCTCCAGGATGTAAAGTACTATGTGAATGGGAGCCAGCTCTTTTTTGTCCAACTCCTTCATCTGGCAGTGAGAGCTGGAAGAAGACATATGCTACCCTCGGTAAGGTTCAAATCTGCCATCCGTGTGTCTGACGGTCCATCACAAACTTGGTGTCTTCCCTGGAGCACGTGGGATGCTCATTGTTTGTCCTTCACTCTCCATCTGCCTAGTGGCTTGTTTCTTTCTTCACTCTCACTTTTCTCTAATGAAATTCTCTACCCTACTTCTCCCTTGTAATTCTTCTTTTGTCCTAACTTGCAATCAGTAAATGAGTTTTTATCTGTTCTCCCCACCAAATAAAATGATTCTGAATGGAAAGGTGTACAAATTAGGTATAATTAACCTTAGATTTAGTTAACTTTATTTTATAAGCAAGTATGGATTGAGATAAAGTAGCACTTAAAATATAATAAATTTATAGGGAGATTTTATATCCTGTTGTTTTCTCATTAGTTTGTGTTGTTCTGGATGAGTTGCTGGGCGTTATGGGGCTGGGGGCAGGGTAGAAAAGATTTCTTTTCATGTCGCAGAAACTTTTCCTTCATCTCAAATCCTTTCTTTGCTTTCATTCCAGAAAAAGGGATCTTGAATTGGTCTCCATGGTTCATTTCCCTTTGGAAATTCCCATCTAATCACAAACCAGTATGCTGGGCAGACATGTGTCTTCCTGACTGCCACCAACACAGCCATATATGGTTCTCCCTGGCTCCCATCTGTGAAAAGTCCTTAATGTCCCATACGGCTTGTGCTCCACTCCAGAGAATGATGGAAGGAGCAGAAAGGAAGCAGAGAGGCTCAAAAAAGATTGATTGTTGAGCTCTGAGGTATTCAGGTGAAAGAATGCAACAATCCTGATATGAAGAGAATTGCCTTTTGTCTTCTTAGATGCTCCTGGTAGAAGAGTCTTCTTTCTAAAAATTTGACACCCAGTATGTGTTAGATTTGTCAGCAACCTTATCGTGTGGATTTTGTAGATGAACTGTTTCTGGTACTTGGGGATTTGAAACCATCATTGCCACAATATGTAAACCAAACAGAGTAACATCAATGAATAGCACCCCAATCTCCTCTTTATCATCTTTCCATGTGGTTCCTTATCAGGGTTATCTCTAGAATCCCCTTCCTTAATAGGAATGCCTTCCCTTCCCTCTTCACTATATTTGACCCTTCAGTACAGATGGCGTCCAAAGAGCACGTTTATACCTCTTCATGGCCACACTGGCTATTTTTACATGGTCCAGATACAGGGGTGGGGAACCTGCAGCCTCAAGGTCGAATGTGGCCCTCTAGGTCCTTAAGTGCAGCCCTTTGACTGAATCCAAACTTCACAGAACAAATCCCCTTAATAAAAGGGTTTGTTCTTAAAACCTGCACTCAGTCAAAAGGCTGCACCTGAGGACCTAGGGGGCCACATGTATCTGAGTATGAATATTACAAGCCTGGAGCCTCATCTCATTGGAACCAGGGACCACAACAGGAAAGAAGACTCTGCTTCTCCAAGGGGGAGTGACATCCGGTAGTCTAGCATTTCTTCCTCCTTATTATTAATTTGGATTTTGTAATTAGGACATAGGTATTAGAACGGGAAGGAATCCTGGAAATTCCATTCTATTCCTCCCTTCCCCCTTTCAGTTTAGCAGATGAGGATCCCAAGGATTCTGACAATCCAAGAAGGGAAAGACTTGTCATGAGATCTGATATTGCCAGGTCATCTTCATTCCTGCTCTTTTAAGGATTTTCTTGAAAGCTCTTGACCATTTCCCCCTCTCTATTAAAATTGTGTTAATTATTTTTTTTTCTAATTCTGTAAAGTATCCCTTTCTGGGTAATAGCTTTGATAGAGAACCAAAT